TAATATATCTCAGGTAAGGAAATTCTTATAGAAAGTGATTAGTTTTGTCTGTTAGGGTAGTACATCTGTTACCTGAAAGGCAACAGGTCTTGAACCTAGTTCTTGAGGTTCTGAATCAGAGATCTTTTCCAACCCTACCATTCTGAGATCCTTTTTGCTGAGCTTCAAATGTCTGCTTACACATGAAACATGCACTCTCCTACTGAGCTACAGAACTTTCTAACAGATCCTGCAGGTCTACTTGATTGCTTATAATCCATTATAAAGACAGCAATACTGTCTACTCACTTAAAACTAAGCATGTGCCCCATCTCTTTTCCAAGGCCTGGTTCTGTATTTTCTGCCTACTGAGCAACAAAATCCTTAATCTGGCATGCAGTAAATGCCCAGAGATAATGGCTTCTATGCATATGTGTCAACCCAACCTCCAAAACCTCCAAAACCTCCAAACATCATCTGACTCAGGTTACATATAAATAGGTAACATACACATACCCCCCCCCCAGCTCACTGACTATGGATGGTGTGGCGGAACAGTCCTGCTCTGACCTGCGGGCCCTGTTCCACTCTGCCCTCCAAGGTTTTCCCAACACTGATAGCAGCTTTTCTCTTTCTCTGTTCAACTGCTACCACCACCTTCTCCTGTAGTAACCTAAGCCACTTCCTCCGTGCTGGCTGGTGGAGAGCTGGTATCCACAAAGACGCTTTCCATCCTCCACTCCCTTCTAGGATTTGGCTGCATGTTACCACATTCACTGAATACTGGCTGCCAAACAGGATCTCAGCCAGTTATCACACGGTAGGACTGGTTCTTCATAATCCCCATTTCTGTGAGGTCTACCAGCCCTCTCCATTCCACAGGCATCTGTGCCACAGGAAGAGTCAGGGCCACCCCACCAATCCCCTGGATTTGAAATGCCATGTTGGACACAATATCAGAATCTGACAGCAGATCAGCCGGCACTAGGGTTACAGAAGGTGTGTGCATTTGGCTATATCCAAGCTGAAAAAATATCTGAAAAATACCTTATCTGTATTTTCTGGCTATTCTTTCAGTTGGATATATATTTGGGAACTTGGCTATCCGAAATGGCCAAGCCCTCAAAATCCCAAAAATATTCGGGATATTTCAGGACTGCCAGATAGTCAAAGTTAAAGGGCATTTAAAGGGATTGCAGTTCTTTTAAATGCTTTCTGGGTGAACTCATTGCTTGGAGGTGTTTAAAAAGACTGCAAACCTTCTTTGCAACCCTTCTTTGGAAGCCCATAGAATTGCCCCCCCGGTCCAATCTTTTTGAAACCTGGGGGGTTTTTTTTAGGAGAGGTACCAGCACATTTGGTGCATCTACTTCAAAAAACAGCCCCCCAGAGCCCCAGATTGATTCTCCATGATATCCTATGGGGACCACTGAGTATATGGGGCTATGGGGACCATGGAGCCGGAAAAATTTGGGATTTCCAAAAAAATCCCCAAAAATTCAGGAATATTGGAAAATACTGATCTTTTTTTAGTGTAATATACCCAAACCCCCCCAAATACCAATTTTTTGCACACTTCTAGTTACAGAGGAACTTGTGTCAATAAAAATTTGGTCTCTCAGCCTCACTGGCTCTCTATAGTCTCCCCAGGCTTCTGCTGACTCCATGGTAGCAAAGACGCACTCATGGTCAATTATGGCCACTTGTAACCTCTTTCACCTTTTGAATGGCTGGTGCTTTTGGAGTAGGTTTGGAGGTCTCTGATTGTAACTGGGTTCCCTTTAAATGCTGTTCTTCTGGCAGGGGTTGCATGCACCTGATTTTCAAGTGGCAAAATCACTGCTTGAAGTTCAGGGAAGGCATGTGGCCACCCCTCTCTTTCCCCCTCCCCCCTCCCCCCTGCTGCTCTTCCTCCTTCTGCTCCTCTCGCATCTTCAGTTTCTGGATCTCTATCTCCTGGTCCCTCTTATCCTTCTCTGTCTGCAACTGCAACAAGCCCTAGCTTTTGGGCCAGACCTTATCCTGCTGGCTTGGGCACTCAGCTGCAGCCTCCCCTATTGACTTGCCACAGCTTAGCAGGAGGGCCTTCATCTCATCAGCAGTCCTGTTCTCACAGTCTATTCACTGTTTCTGGCATTCTTCCTGCAGCTCTTGCTTTCTCAGCTTCCAGGTTCTCATTTGCTCTGCTAACTCCATTCTATCTAGACTGATCTGACCCTTCTCCAGTCGACCCCAACCTCCCAAAAAAAACTTCTGTTGCTCTCTCTGCGTGTGCGTGCCAATTCAAAATCCCTGGTCAATCAAGTTCTTTGTTTGTTCTTATCCCACCACTGCAGCCCAAGTGTGGTGGAACAGTCCTGTTCTGACCTGCAGGCCCTGTTCCACCCTGCCCTCCAAGGTTTTCCCAACACTGAGAGGGGCTTCTCTCTCTCTCTCTCTCTATTCAACCACTGTCACCATCTGACCTGCCCTCTGGGAGGGTCAGAACTCCCAGCTTCCCTTGCAAGTTCTGAGGCCTTGCCTCTATGTCTCCTGCTACCCAGTGCCTGGTTACCATGGGGACAGCTTACTGCCTTGTGCACCCCTGGGGGAGTAGACACTTGCCAATGGACTGCCCTTCCCTTCCTCTTGGTGCTCTTTTTAAAATAGCATGTCCAAGATGGTGGAGGTTTATGTGGCACAGAGAACCACTACCAGGATCAAAAGTTATAAAGTATTTACTTAATAGAAAATGTTCACAAGCATATTCTTAGCACAGCACCAGATTGAGCAAGGGATTCAAAAGAAAAGGGTGATATGCAATTCCTCTGTCCCTCTGTCAGTTTGGTGTAGTGGTTAAGTGCGCGGACTCTAATCTGGGAGAACCGGGTTTTATTCCCCACTCCTCCACTTGCACCTGGCTGGATGACCTTGGGCAAGCCGTAGTTCTGATAAGAGCTCTTCTTGAAAAAAGAGCAGTTTCTGTCAAGAGCTCTCTCAGCCCCACCTACCTCACAGACTGTCTGTTGTGGGGAGGGGAAGGGAAAGGAGTTTGTAAGCCGCTCTGAGACACCTTTGGGTAGTGAAGGGCGGGGTATAAATCCAATCTCTTCTTCTTCCTCTATACATGCCCTGTCAGATGTTAAATATAAGACTGGCTCCTTAGCTGAAATTACCAGATGTTCTACAGAGTTCCCATTACCCTGAAGCCGCCTTTAGGTGTTAGGTCAGCACATGGCAATGGCCTCCTCCTTCAGACCTCAGTTAAGAATTCTGTCTGCTTTGATGGAATCAGCACCAAAGAATGCTTCCTCCTTGCTCCCAGAAGTTTTATCATCTCACTTTTCCCCACCAATGACCAGGTCAGGCTGGGTCAAAGGACCTTTTCCTGAAGACTCCAGAAATTTCTCCCTGAAGTCCTTCTAGTAGTTAATACCTCCAAAATTCTGTTCCCTGCTTGACCATCCCATTGTCTCTTGCTAGACCTATTAGCATTTCTAAGAAGGTAGTTAAGGTGAGGCTGGAGAACCACTGAACTGACTTCTCCCTTCCTGCCTGTTCTCTGACCAGAGGAAAAAACTTTTAAAAACTCTTGGTGAAGGTTTTTCTGCAAGATGGGTTTTCTGCACTAGGGTGAAGACATCTGCTTTAACAAGTACCCTTTTCTTTCTTTAGCCAATATACTAACAGTGCAATCCTAAACAGAGTTACACCCTGTTAAGTCAACTGACTTCAACAGGCTTAGAAGGGTGTAATTTTGTTTAGGACTGCAACGTAAATTTGTTTTGCAAGGTAAAGTAATGTTGTATTGTTGCACAGACTTCTCAGCCTCTCCTTGAAGGAAAGGTGCTACAAGCTATAAGTCATTTTCGTCTCCCTGTTTTGCACTTTCTCCAGCTCTACAGTGTATTTTTTGAGATATGATGACCAGAATTTTAGACAGTATTTCAAATGAGGCCACACCCAATCCCTTTCCTAATAATACCCTGCATAGAATTTGCCTTCTTTATTGCAGTCAGGCTGGATAGCACATGCCCCAAAAGGAGTTTATTTAAGGAGAAACTCTCCTTTGTCTCTCTGGTTAACCCACCTTCCCCATAGCAGTGCACTAAGGTGCTACAAGTGACTCTACTACCTAAGTTCTCCGGAGTCGCGACCCAGAGAGCTCACACGTGGTTTGGCTGGTCCGACCTGTGTGCCTTGGAGTTCACAAGCTGCTGCTTTTCGGCTGCCCATCCTTCCAAGGAGGAGAGTTCTTCCTCAGCTGGACCTCAGATGAGTATAGCCGTGCCCCATTGTGTATTCCCCATTTTGATGCTTTTGTTATTTTCTATGCTGTAATTGTTCTGATGTACTATTGTAACTAAGAAGCTTGTATAACTGTGTGTGCGATTCTGATTTTGTATGACTGCAGAAACCTTTAGTAAAGACAACATTTATTCTTAATCCTAGCGTGTTGTCTCACTTCCTGGGATATAGCGAGCGTCTCATTGGCCATCTGACCTCTGTATAGACTGGTATAGAACTTACGCACAGCCACAACCACCCAACTTCCTTGGTAGATAACTTGGATTGGGTCTCCAGGAATTTCCTGGAGAAGTTGGCATAACATTCTCCATTATGCAAAGAAGATTGTCAACTGGGTGGATAAACTGGCTCTCATACAAACCATTTTCTGCATCTGTGTATGAAGTATTATTTCTACTGATGGGAAATGTTGAGACCATACAAGGAGATATCAAAACGTATATTTTAAGTTGGTCTTTAATTTTGTAAGCATAAGAATTTCCTCTCCTCACTAAAAAAAATCTTCAGTGACAGTCTAGAGTAACAGAAATAGCAAATAACAACAAAAAAACAGAAACAAAACAACAACAAAACAAACCTTTATGAGAGATCTGGCTGAATGCTGGTGTTTAAACTCAAAGGAACTTTGGACTAAAGATTAAAATTTTGTGAGTTCTTATTTTTAACAACCTCCAACATAAATATTTCTACTCTCCATTGTAACTAGTTCTTATTATCTATAAAATAATTTGTGATTACATAAACATCATGTTAGGCAGCCCATACAAAACAGTATTAAACTTTGATGGTTGAATCACAGGACAGCTTAGCCTATCAGGGCTTTTTGCTTCCATCTGTTCTTCTTTCTTGTCTTCAGGAAACTCCACTAGAAATGCAATTCAGAACAAACAGTTAAATCATGTCTAGACACTGGATATTTTATAGAAACAAAGTGCAAGATCCAGTTAAGTTTAAGCGCTTTGAAGTTGCATTGCAGGCAATATAAATAAAAACAAATAATACCAATGAAAACATATCAATAAAATAATGCAAATCAATGATAATGCAAATAAAACAGCCAATAAAAACAAGCCAGGGCATTAAAGGACATAAAACAAAGCAGTCTAAAATGATATTGGTTAAAATCCCAAGTTAGTCGATTGATTTAAAAAACCTAGGTAAAGAGAAATGTGTTGGCCTAGCACAGTGGTGGCGAACCTATGGCACGCATGCCAGAGGCGGCACTCAGAGCCCTCTCAGTGGGCACGCGTGCCATCGCCCCAGCCAGGCCCAGACTGTCATTAAAGTGTGGAATTCTCTGCCAAATAATTTTAAGTAAATGAAAGCATTTGGGATTGCTTTCCTTACTTTGTTTATCATATTTTGTAATCTGCTTGCTGATTGACTGAACATTTTTATCATACCTGTAATCTGCCTTGGGTTCCAATGAGAAAGGCAGATAACGGATAATTTAAACCTCATGTGTGAAACTGTCCTTAGAGTCGCCTCTTAGCACAGATAATAGTTTTCCAGTCATGCTAGCACATGATACAATTTTAGTTTAACAAAAAAGGCAAATGGCGAGATAAAAATCATGTAAGATTTTGCTCTGTAGACCCTAGTAAAACCACTGATGTTACCTTTAAGTGACTCTTCAACGGTGGTCTTACTCCTCTGAAGAACACGAATAGTCTGTCCAGTTGTTTTGCCTACTTTTAACAAATCTTGAAATAAAAACAGTATCATTTATTTAGAAACCAGAAAGCAAAACAGATCGCCCCTAGATCGCCCGCTTGCTATCTATACGGGCACAACACACAGTTCCTCCAAATTTGTGAGTGACAACCTGATCTTATCAAGTTAGGCATGCCTAAACCCCAGGAAATCAATGTTCTCAGGCAATGTTCTTTGTATATGTTACTCTGGACTGTTACGCTCCTATAGCCTGATCTAATTAAAAAACTTAATTGGCTTTTAAAGAGATAATGTCCTTTGGGGCCCACAGTTGTCTAGGGCAGGGGTTTTCAAAGCTTTTCCTGGGAAACCCTGGGATTCCTCAGTTAAAATAGTGGTAATGGTAGACAAGTTTTCCTGAAAGAAAGCAGTTTACCAGTAACAATCCTATAGCAATGGGTGCCCTTCCAATGCAAATTTAAAAAATCCTTAAAAGGGGGAACACTCAGAGCTAGGATATACAATTCTCAGTTTGAACAAAAATATAAAAGAAATGTATATAAGGTATTAACCCCCCAAGTAATGTCTGTGCATGTGTAGACACTGCAACTTCCCACCCCCAAATGTGAAAAGAAGGGGAAGAACATGTAAGAGCATAATTAGGCAGAGCAAGTGGTGAGGAAATGTAGGTCAACAGGGAGGGAACGAGATGCCCCCAGTCCACAAGGATCCTCCGCTTGTGGATGCACAACCATGAAGAAGCACTGGGTGTGCTCAAGGGTCCACTCTCAGTTTGCATGAATTTGTGGTGAAACCCAACAGGCCTGCCCAGGCCTGCACTGCATAAACAAAGCATGCGCCCTAGCATACTTCCCAGAATCCTCCACAAAGTCCAGATATTCCCCGACAGAGATCTTCAGCAAACAAATCAATGGAGAAGGATTCCCTAAAGGGAGAAATTTTGAAAACCACTGCTCTGGGACCTTTATGAGTCTAGAAGCTTCACTTTATCCCATCTAAAAAACTTGGCTAATTGTTATACTTAGAAGAAAGCATGAAGCACTAACAGCAGCTGTTTTAGAAAACATTTACTATTAAGTACATACTCTCACACAATCTTTCTAGTCTTGCTGCATTCTCTCCCGTGGTAGTACACCATTGATTGGCTATGATGGCATGCACTCCAATAAGGCTCAGAATGATCGCTGTCTCAGTTGGCATCTCCAGAGACAGGCGCAAAGAACTATGGAAGGCAATGAGGGAGTCAAAATATAACCAATAAAAAGGACTAGCATGCCTGAATATTCGGAATACAAAAAGAAAATCTAGGGTTATTCCCATGTTTCCTATTCATTAGCATGTCTTGCATGAAGTAAGGAATTTGCGAACTATGAATTTGCACAATGTATTATAGTTGCCAGTTGGGTCTCCCAAAGTTAAGATTACAATCCTAAACAGAGTTAGTCTTTTCTAATTCCACTGAAGTCCATGGACTTAGAAGCACAGTCCTGAACTCACCTGGGGCCTCATTTGAGGGGCCATGGGGAGTGGGGAGTGAGGCTGGGTCTGCTGCTACTGCTGGGTTTGACAGCATGGTCAAAAACAGCCTCAGAAGACTCTGTGGCTGTGTGGACTTCCCAGTGTTCTCCCTTCCCGACTGGCCAATCTGCCCTGACACTGTATGGCTAGGGAGGGGGAGGGGCTAGGGCAGGCAGACAGTAGTGAGGATGTTTTCTCTCAAGTCCACCTGCCCAGGATTTAAAGAGCCCGTGCTGTGCCAAGGTCAGCTCACCTTGTGGCATCATCCCGCACATCCCACCCTTTATCACATTGTTAGGGTTTCTGGTTTTGTTCACCCACGTTTTTCTTGTCACAACTTGTTGGCGGTGTCAGCATGGGGATGGATCAAAGGGGGGGGGGAATTCGACTTACATGGCCTTTACTTCCATCCTTGGAATTCCCCTTAAGGGTTTTTGAATGAAGACTAACATGCCCAGCTTGGGGGCCATAAAGGCACCCTCACTATAAGTGGCAGAGGGAGCCATGCAGTGGCCTACACCCATGTGATTGCCTGCATACCACCATCTCATGGTACTTCCCCAGCTGGGGGTAGGTGGTTTGCTTATTGGCCAGAAGGCAGGTCGGCTGATGCCCGGATCCATTGCCCCATGCTGCGCCAAGGCCCTGTCAGTTGTAACCAATAATGTTGTGGTCATTTTGTTCCAGCAATGTGTCTGTGGTTTGCTGCCTGGTGAGTTGCCTCACTGACTTCCTGCTCCCTTGGACACTGGGACCGCAAGAGTGTGGCTGTGCTTTGGATGGCACTGTTAACATGCCATACGTGGTATTAAAATGTAGCTTATATTACTACTTAACTCATTTCATCTCACATTTTCATTCTCAGCTTAAACATTTAACCTACTTTACACTTTTAGCACCTTACACACAGCATGATACAATTTTAAAAATATTCTGCATATATATTTTTATTTTAAAATATGTATTTTCATTATTCAAAGAGAGAAGAATTCAACTGTTGAAAAGCCCCAACAGTTATGCAGCAAACTTTTAAAATGCTTTAAAATGATTAGCTTTAGCCCAGATTTTACTACTGAGAAACTAATACAGAGGTTTTTTTTTTTACCTTTTATCTTCATAAAGATTTGACACCCGTGCAGAGCTTTCTACTGTATGCGCAAGATCTAAAAGTATCATGATCTGACATTCTGGAGAGGGGGGAAAATCCAGTCTTGATGTTACTTTCAGTAGCACACCAGTACAGTTTTCCTTACAGAGCTACCTTTTGATTATGGAGAAGAATCTATTGCCAGCTTCATCTTGCAAATATACTGCTGGCAAAAGTTTTTAATAAAATTACATTGTGTGGAATACAGCGAAACTAACAAGCAGTTATGAACAGGGCTATTTTTGGGCAGGAACGCACAGGAACGGAGTTCCGGCTGGCTCCCGAGTTGGCCACGCCCAGCAGGAACTCATTAGCATAATAGGCCACACCCAACAGCAGAAACTCATTAGGATTGGCTACATTAGGGGTGTGTAGCCTAACATGCAAAGGGTTCCTGCTACAAAAAAAGCCCTGGGTTTTGACAACAAACAAGGTAAATAGAATAAGAAGCAAAAGGTGGGTGTGGCTGGATGACCACACTTCTGGTAATATGGGGGTGTGGCCCAATATGCTAATGAGCTGTTATCTCAGGGTGTGGCCTGATATGCTAATGAGTTTCTGCTCTTGGGTGTGGCCTATTATGCTAATGAGTTCCTGCTGGGCTTTTTCTACAAAAAAAGCCCTGGTTATTAAAGCTACACATTCTTCTGGTGTGGGTTCATTTTCATGAGGTCCAGCTTATATCCCACACCTCCAGAAACTAGCTGCCTTCAAGACATTAAAGAGCCCCTTCCAATGAAACCACCATAAATTAGGAGCTAGTGCTGCATGGATCCTTTCTACGTCCCGAACTTTCTCTCAGAATCCCCAGTCTGTATGATACAAACCGACACACGACACTCCTCCACACTCTAGCTTTACCTCTGTTTCTGAAACAGTGGCGCCTGTGTGTGTGTGAGCGATGACTTTCTTCAATGAAGCTAGGGGCTTTTAATGCTACTTTTGCTCCTCCCCATGTCATGAATACAAAATTATAAGGGATTCTCAGTCTGATCACTTCAGACTGCATTTGAATGACAAACAAAAGTTTTTTGGTGCCTGAAATGACTACAGAAACATACTTTAATCCTCACATCAATCGAATCCTACATTTCCATACGAAATGAACATAATTTTCTTTTTAACATTCTGCAAAGGGGACATGTTTGGTTTCATTAAATCACCTGGGATGTTCATAGCAGTCAGTCTGTCCAAAAAAATATGAGCGAAGAGTCTTTCCATTCCCGAGAACAGAAACGCACTGCAGTTACTCAATAAGTGTTCCCATTCGGCTTGACTGAAAAATAGGTTCAAACTTTTATTTTAACAATATGCTCAGTATACAGGGATATTATGGAGCAAAGCATGACTATATGTCATTTACACTATATTTAACCAAGTTGCTTTTGTACGTGAATAGAAAGCTGTGTTACTTTGAGAAGTACCTGCTCAGTTATTTAAAAAAATGCATTTATTCACTTCATTTGGACCCACATTTCTCTATAGTGGGGACCCAAAGCAACTTACATTATTCTCTCCTCCTCCATTTTATCCTTGTAACAACCCTAAGACTGAGGAAGCTTAGGCTGACAGAGTGTGACTGGCCCAAAGTCACCCAGCAAGCTTACAGGGCAGAGCAGGGATCTGAACCTGTACTACATTTGAAAACCATTTCAGCAGTGTTGCAAAAACAGTATCCAGTTAATTTTTCACAGATCCTAGTCTGACGCTTTAACCACCATACCACAATGCCTTTTTAAAATAATTAACCACCAACTTTAAAATCACCAGTTATGTTTTTGTTTCTATCCTACCATGGCAGGACTACTAAATGTATATGAAGGAAGTCATTTAAAAATCTATTGGAAGAGTATTCCATTCCGGGCATCTTATTTATAGATATTTCTGAGTATGTGCTTTCTTAGTTCTCTCATGACTAGTTTCCCACTGATTCAGATTATTTTTCTCAAGTTCTATTTAATTTTTTTACAGTCAGGAAGGGCTGGGATGCTGCTGGCATGACGTAGCTGAATTTTAGTATCGTTCATAGCAATAGGAGAAGCTTCTGCACCTCCTTATAGAAAACAAAGGGACTTGAAAGTGTTTAACTTTGGCTGGAAGGAGTCTTTCATTTTAACTCTTCCTTAGTAATCAACACAAAAAGTGTTAGACATTTGTTTAGCTCCTAAAATTAATCAGACAATTGAACACAATTCAGTATCAATGAACTTGCATACCTTGGAACGTGTGTAATACCAAGAATTCCATCCCAGCGTAGTGTATATTGTTCATATCTGTCTTGGATTGACTTAAACACTTGTATAGGGCTTTCTGGATCTGAGATATAATTTTTTAAAAAATTATTATGCACTTTATATTTTCCAGCACTGATGTAAATCCATTAATTACATAATCTGAAACAATTGCAGGTTTAAAAACATAGATTAACTTTTTATTGATCTTATGTGTATCATACATTAACTTGTTAAAACAACCTTGTTATTCCATAAAGATACACTAAAGACATACTTTTAAAAGTGAGTACATTTCTTTTTCAAAATAAAATTGGCATTTGTAGCCTATGTATTGGCTGTACTACATCTGAAAATGATTTTAGTGGGGTTGCAGAGACAGTATCCAGTTAATTTCTCACAGGTAATGGAATGCAAGAGAATAATAAGGTATATTTTTTTGCAAATGGTTACCTGTTTCTCCTGCATCATTATATGGATCAACAACATCTAAGATATGCAGTTAAGGACAGGTGCATAAGTGGTGTCCCCAGCTCTCCACCATCAAAGTTCCCCATCCATAGTTTGACCTTCCATAGACCTCTCACACATTACAGCTCAGCTGCCACCCATCCTGCTTGGCCTAAACATCTAATCTTTCTTTGACCCACAACCACATCCTTTCCCCCGGACTAGAAATGTTGGCAAACTGCAGACTACTTGACATAGGTACTAGGGGTCTGCACTCAATATAAACTAAGCTGAAAAAACCTGATAAATACCTTATACCATAACTTATAGCATAAATACCTTATAGGTATTTATAAAGTACAAGGGGGCGGGACCCGCGATACTCGCGGGGGGGGGGCCTCCACACAGGAGGCAGAGGAGGAAGCAGGAGGAGGAGGGCAGTGCCCCCCCATCCTGCCGGTTCCTCCCCCATCACCCCCACCCCCCCCTCGTTCCCCCCCCCTTCCCTTCCCCCCCAGCTTCGAAGCGAGGCCCAAGCGGCAAGCCGCTCGTGCCTCACTGCTCTTTTTCCCCGCCCCTGGCTCCGAAGAGAGGGCCGAGCGGCTTGCCGCTCCTGCCTCGCTGCTCTCTTCCCCCCCGCCTCGCTGCTCTCTTCCTTCCCTAAGCGGCGACGGTGAGGGAGTTCGCAGAGTGTTCCCTGCGCAGGCGCAGGGGACGCTCTGTTCCTTTTGGGGGGATTTAAGTATCCCCCTGATATTTTTTTCAGGTTTTAAGATTTTTGTGCACACCTGGGGACCGTACCAAGTGTGCACAAAAATCTCCCTCCCCACCAGGTGCCCCCGAAGCGCGGATTTAAGTATCCGCACACAGGGGGCATCTTCGGAATTAGATATATAGATTTTCTCAACTGATCACTGAGGGGGCTGGTGATTTGGCGATCCAAAAATGGCCACCCCAAAAATATTTGGAATTTTTTTGGGCCACCATATAGCCTCAGTTACAGGGCTTTTAAAGGGCTCTCAGTCCATTTAAATGCCTTCAGAGTCAACCCTTAGACATTTAAATCGACTGCGGTCACTTGTTGCTGTGCGGAGTCATGCTGTGGCTTGGAGAAGGCATTTAAAGGGCCCACACCCCTTTAAACACCTTTCCCCCTCCTTTGGAAACAATGGAGGATGGGGGCACCTTCTTCTGGGGCCCACAGAATAGGTCCAATATTGTTGAAACGTGGTGAATTTTTTTGAGGAGAGGCAAAAGCAGATATGCTTCCAATTTGGTGCCTCTACCTCAAAAAACAGTTCCCCTGAGCCCCAGATACCCCCTGATTGAATTTTTACTATAGCCTATGAGGATCATTGAGTATAATGGTCCCCATAGGGTATAATGAAGCCAGAAAATTTCAGCCATCCTGAATATTTCCTGAATCCAAATACCATACTGATATTGGGATTTGGGAATATCAGGAAATACTGATTTTTTTTTGATTCAATATACCCCAAATCCGAAAAATACTGATTTATTTTGGTATGCACATCTCTAATAGGTACTATTGAATGAGGGAAAGGTTGTGACAAGGTACAAGAGACACAGATAGGCAAATCCTCTGCTCTACTAAAGGGCATCACTTCCTAGCCCTGAAGGTGATTCCATTAATGTGGCACAGAGCAGGAATGGAATTGGGCCACACTGGACACTCTCAGGCTAAGTTTTTGACAGCCTTAATAGGTCTAGGTGTTTGATATGATGAACAGTAATTTTTGAAAGGATACATTTAACATTATGTATATCCACTGAAATGCAGTTGGGTGGCAGAACACGGTTAACTGAAAACTGTTGTTAAGTAAAACACAATTATACCCTGGCATTTTTTAAAAAAACCCTACAGTTATAGCTTAACTTCGAATGAAAACCCAATAAATTCAGTAGGACTTCTTATTTCTTTGTAAGCTTGTTTAGGATTGGAACACTAATGGAGCCATCCATATACCACTTACTCCTATTAAAGCAAGGACAGGGGCTACTCCTATGAAAGTGTTCAAAAATTTGGACTCTAAGTATTCATATATAACATTTTTTCTCAAAATAAACTGAAGAAATACTACTTTGTATAATTTTTTATCTGGAGGATTCCAGCTGCTACTCTAGTCATATTGAGCAGGCCACAACTAGGATGAACCTTTGCAGAATTATTTCAAATACACATATAAGTACAGCTATTTCCTGTATTTCCAGCCACAAGGCCAAATCAAGTTATTGTGATGAACTAGGTGAAAATTAATTTTCTTCCTCCCTGAGAGCCTGTTGTATGGTTGGGGAGCAAAGAGAAATCACATTGATGGCTTTTCCTCAATTACAGTCCCATTTGTTTATTTGATTTTTATCCTATCCTTCCTCCAAGATGTTCAGGATGTTCTCTCCTCCATTTTATCTTTGTAATAATCCAATAGGGGAAGTAGTTAGGCTGACCCAAGGTTTCCTGATGAGCTGTACAGCAGAATATAAATTTGAACTCTGGTTTTCCCAGTCCCTCATCCAATACTTTCCCTAACTCATATAGTTAAATGGAGAACAGAGAAGTGGAAACACTCAAGTAAACAGTGTATGAGTCCAACTCAGACTCTTAGGATAACAGGGGTTGGAATAAAGGAAGACCAGTGTGCGATGCATTGGAAAAAAATTCTGCCCCTTTCTGTCAGTCTCTAATCTCCTGTATTCCTTTTTGGTGCATGTGCAGAGCACGTAACAGCCTAGGGCCTAGGGATAGCTGAGAGAGCCAGATGAGAGGCAGCAGTGAAAGAGGAAAATCTGTTACACTGTCAGCTCTGGTCAGATAGAGTCTGAGAGTGAGACTGGAGGGATTTTGTCTGGTTTGAGAATAAGCAGGCTAAAACAGTGAATGTTTTCAGATAGGATTTGTGCCTCCAGAGGAGGAGGCAGGAAGAGATCCTTTCTCAGGAGACTCTGTATGTCTCCAACCCTGGATTCTGAGATAAAGCAGGCTAATTTCAGTGAACACTTCAAAGAGGACTAGGGTTACAAGCTCCAAGTTGGGAAATACATGGAGATTTTGGGGGCGGAGCCTGAGGAGGGTGGGGTTTGGAGAGGATGGATTTCAATGGGATATAACGCCATAGAGTTCACCTTCCAAAGTGGCCATTTGCTCCAGGCAAATTGATCTCTGTCACCTGGAGATCAGTTGTAATCCCAGGAGATCTCCAGCCACCACCTGGAGGCTGGCAATGTTGATGAGGAGACTGTGCAGTCTCAGAGACTGGGTTTCAGCAGTAGCAGGCCAAGCTATTGGAGTCTGCATAAGGAGCACACACATACAGCGAGATTCCTAAGGCTGGGGTAAGGCAAAAAGCTGGCCTGATAACTATTCTCTGAACCCCTACCTTGTTAACTGAAACACTATCATTTTGTGAGCCCAGCAAATGTTGTGTGTTATAATCAGGGCTTTTTGTGTGTGTGTGTGTGTGTGGTGATACTGGATTTTTTTTTGGGGGGGGGAGTTCTACCAAGTCTTGAGGAGTGAATTAGGAGAAATTAGTCCAATCTTATACATGAATACAGACACCTTTTTTTAAAAAAATCAAAAAGCAGTGGTTATACTTGCATATAGTTTCAGGCTTATGTATGGAACAACATTTTCCCATCCAAGACAGCTAATAAAAATTATGCCCCCCCCCTTTACTTCAAACCTCATCTGGGAATCACTGCTTTCAGAAGACACTTAGGACCTGTTGGTCAGGTGGAGCTTGGAGAAGACACCATACTGATCAAACAATACAACATGCTACCTCTTTTTAAACGGCATCTAAAACCCCAGCCGTCACACTGTATTCTCCCCTCAAGTGATTCATCATCGGCAATTCGTTTCCAGCTTCAAATTTATTTATTAAGTTTATATCCTGCCTCCCCATTAGCATTCAAAAGGCACCCAACAAAATCAGCACTGCATAAAGCAAGTTACATTAAATCAACGTAAAATGACAAGAACACAAATAAGATTAATTTGATGAGATGTCATATGCATTCGATGGACCGTTGAAGGTTTCCCCTCTTTTCCTATGACATGCAACTTACGACAGACGCTGGCTGTAGCCACACTAGCTATTTTGTTTGCAAATCTGATCTTAACCTTATTTGGGTCACAGAGAATCCACACAACATCATTATCAAACTGAGATCCACTCCTCCTTTTTGCAAAACTGCTTTGTGGCAATATTTTTGCTTCTGAACAAACCACAGTCCTAGCTCTGCTGTGGACGGGCAAAGGAGGACACTCGACTGAAAGCTATGAGCCTGACAATATGGTCGACAATGCCCCGCCCTTTCTGAGTCCCATGGGTATTGTACAGTATCCTGCAACAGAGTCCTTTCTCTCATTATTTCTAAAGAGCCTGAGGCTGAAAAGAGGGAATAAGATCAGGGAATGTTTGTTTAAAAGACTGAATACACTGTGTGAAATTGTGTATGTAAGACAGAGCTTGACATTTTCCTTTTTGCTTGAAAATATGAATATTTTATTCTTATTTGTAGTTCTATTGGCATGCAACAGGAAAGCTACACGAATGACACATCAATTAAAAAATGAAGAGCAAATGGGATTGCAAAGAAGAAATGAAAATATGAATTCTTAAAGGGCCAACGGCATTAACAATTGAGATGGTAGGAAGCATAAGCTTAAAATTTTGGAGGGGGGATTAATTGTATGTGTGAATTTTTTTTAAAAAAATCATTGTTGGTATACAACAATGAAATTGCAGTTCAGAAAGAGCCATTAAACACACACACACTCACACACACACGAAATTCTGTACCTCATTTACATCATTCTGGGACTCACAAATAGGAAAGATGATCAGGAAATTATTAAATGGCCAATTACAATATAGGTGACAAGGTAAAAGGGGGTGACTGTGAAACCCCCAGGACTTCATCCTCCTAGGGAGGTGCCATCTTCTTTCCACAGAGCCAAAGACTAGTCAACACACTGCAAATGTAACAATTGCTCTTTATTTGCCCAGCTCCTTTAAGGTGCCAATTCTAGTGGTTAACTGCCAACCGGTAGCTGGGCCAGCTCATGTCTCATCACCTCCACCTACTCACACCGAGGTGCTGGGGCTGCTTTCTCAGCCTGAGTCCTTCTCCCAGCTCAGTAAGCTCCTGTCCTGGGTGCTGTACTCTTGCTGCAGGATTAAGTCAGGGGGGAGTTGGTTCATCTGTGTCAGATGGGTAAAGTTCCATCTGGGCCATGAATATTGCCTCCCAGGTCCCAAGGAGGCCTGGTACTCTCTAGTCTTCAAAGGCTAGAAGTCTGACTGCCCTCACAGAGATCTACTTCCTTCACCTCCTTCAGCTGCAGCCTTTTCATTCTTCTTCTCCTGGCAACTCCCAGTCCATCCTTCCATGCTCCTACTCCTGAACAGGCCCTTTCTCTCAAGGAGGGCTTTGCTCCATAGGGAGCTGGTACTGGTGGGCCTCCATCCTCTCTGCTCTTCCAGTGTGTGGTAAGAAATTTTAGAAATATAGAAAGTTTGGGTTTAAAGTGGAACCTAATAGCTTATGAAATCCATGTGTCTGTCTCTGTTTTTGCTAGAACGACAGCAAGGAGGCCTGGCCTGTTTCAGGCCCTTTGTTTTAGACAAATCTCCTTATTAGTCACCCAGGCAAAAGTTCACAACATTCCATTCCCAGGATTTGAATCAATATAAGTCTCTATAAGTGTGAGACCCACAATTTTAAAGGCAATAAAATTGCAGCTGGTCAGGAAAGCCATTTTGGCAATGACAGACCCTAATCCAAAATGCAAACTCAGGAGCAACAGGATTTCACATACCCCACTTCCCCCTTAGAGATAACTTTGAAGTTATCTCTCTGATAGTTTCTTAGAACAGTCCAGCCCCAATGGTGGGAACACTAAGAAAACAATAGCACCATCCAGTAAATAAGAGTGTGAACTTTTGAGACCAAGGAAGCAATTTACAGTTAAACAATTTCAACTTCTAAATGTTAATTTACAACTGTAATATGATTATCAAGGAGCTCCTTTGATCATTTGGTATAAATACTGGTAAAATCCAACAGATTTTCATTGGCTCTTGAAGGATCAGGAGATGCTTAGCCTCCTGAGAATTTGGAGTCAACCCGAAAGGGCCCTTTCGTTTCTTGCATGCTTTGGGTGGGATACTTTGCTTGCATGTTCATTTTTCTGTGTGCTTACTATCTATATTGAAATAGAAGTGTACTGTGTTGGCAAGCTGACACAGCATCTTGCTGGTCACTTTGTCAGGTAAACTTTGAATATTGATCTTTTAATAAAAAGATAAGAAGAGACCCTTTGCTTTGAGTGTCTCTGCCAGCGCTTAGCGGTTTCAAACTTGCACTTTTCGCCTTTGGTGAGGAGGCAACACTCAGGGGACATGAACCAGAGGGGGTGTGTGGGGACACATTTTTCTCTCAACACAGTGCTCTTATCAGCCCCAAAGGCTCTTCCCTCAGCTCTTCAACTGGGCTGTTACCTTTGTTAGGACTATGTCACTGCTCCACCACCTTCTCCCCCCTGGGTAGGGTGCCCTGGGCTGTGACAGTGACATAAGGATGCGAATGGAAAGAGTCACAGAAGTAGAGAGCTTTGCAAAAGTTCCTGAAATTCACCGGCACGTCACAGAAGGGCAAATTATTCACAGTTGAGTAGAGTGAAGAGTACAGCAAACAAGGGGAGCATGCAACAGATATAGGCATTTTCTGCACAAACGGCTCTCCCCACTCTTGCATTTCTATTCCTCCGCCTCTTCAGCTGGTTTCTGCAATGGTATTTTCAGTCCAAGATGCAAAAACAAGGTTTATCTTGCCTTGCGGTGCAGCATCAGTCTTCCCTGTTCCCTGGAATTCTGTTGCTGTGCCACAAGAGGGAGCAAACCTCATTTTTGCATCTCAGACTACAAATACCATTGCAGAAACCAGCTGAAGAGGTGAAGGAATAGAAATGCTGGAACGGGGAGAGCCGTTTGTGTGGAAAACGTAATAGATAGGCTTCCTTGGGTTGGGTTTCAGGTAACTAATAAGAGAGAGGTCAGCAATGCAGTGTTCACCTTTACTTTTGCTGCATCAATGGACACTGCAAGACTATAATGGCAATATGACTAGGAAATGTATTCAGTATTGACTGGAACCACTGTGGTGGTGGAAGAGCAATGCAACAGCACACTGCATGCGGAAGGAACCACTGTTACTCCACTCAACTGTATGAAGGAGGAAAGGGTCTGAAATGAGGAATACCAGAAGAAGAGAATCTCAATTACCCCCAAGCCTTAGACTCACTTGTCCCAAATGTCTGGAGTGGCAGATTCTGTTCCTTAAAGGATTTCCAGATTAACTTCTTGGTGGGTGACCCCTAGTATTTTGCTGCTTTACTTTATTGCATGTTCGACTGGGCAGCACACATGCTCAGTCCTTAACTTGGCTGTCTCCCTTCCCCTTCTGGGATGCCAAGGGGAATTCATATTTTTCTACATAGCTAGGTTTCCCCTGGGATATACAGAAACCTCCCTCATCTTAGTTGGTGGCACCAGTGTCTTGCTGTAGTGAATGGCATGGGCCACCAATTTCAGTACAAGAAGGAAGATAAAATTATGATATCTTGATTAGGGCTTTCGGGAATAGCTCGGTATCACTCCGAAATATCACAAAAATGCATACTTACCAGCTTGCCCTTCTTATGATCACCTTTTTGTTTTGACTCTTTTGCACTCTTTGCATCCTTTTTCGTTTCATTTTCTGTTAAAAAGCACAATCAGCCTAAATCACTAAGCATTTTAAAAAGTTACCACTTGAACCAGAACAAATCTGGAGATTCAAATTTAAATATTCTTTCCTTAGATTTAACAGCCTAAAGGCCATGCATCGGTAAAATAAATTCAGTTTGTCAGATGTACAGAAATAATATAGTAAAACAATCCACCATGCAATTTTTTAGTTTGCAGGAAAATAAGAATTTCAATTTCTGAACATTGGGAATACTTGCCAAGTGTTCTATCCAGTGTGTAATATATTTATCCTAGGACTTTTAAAAATGGCAACAGTATCAAAAAGTGATTTTTATATCTATCTATCTATCTATCTATCATCTATCTATCTATCTATCTATCTATCTATCTATCTCACCAGATTTGTCCACAACAGTCTCAGCATAGTTTTGTGACTAAAACTGATGCTATACAAGTTTGGTCCTCTAAGTAAACTTTAAAACATCCTCTCATGACAAAAATTTTGCTGGTCAAGAGATGATGTAAAGGTTCAAGAATGTTCAGAGTCTTCTCACTATTATAACTTGCTCAAAGAGGTCTTTTAGTCCATATTATGCTAGAAAATATTTGAAATACTTTACATTTGGGGGGAAAACAGTAAGTCAGCATTGCTATACCTGATTCTTCTTTATGTATGCGGTTATATAAAAGTTGGAGAGAAAAATCTCTGGACACAGAACTTATTGCCTCTTCTTGAAAAATACTCAGGGCTTCCAAAGGCAGCTCCATAAGATATTTGTCTGCCAGTATTATCATGCACTCTCCCATGTCTGGAGTACCAGCTGAATACAACAAAGATGAGTAGGTCATAAATTCATGAGAAACAAGGGTAACCTGGATTTCCCAGATCCTAGTCTGACACTTTAACTACTATACCACACTGGCTATCATGCTCACATCGTCTTCCAATCTCCTCACATGAGTTAAATGCAAGCCACAGATTGTTGTTACACCCAAACAGAAACTGTTGCTCTTGCCTACAAACCAAAATTAAAATGGGTGGGGAACAAGTGAACAGGCCATAGTTTGTGATTCAGACAGAACAACAAGCTGGCTTGCCTTGAACAAAGAATGGATTAATTTGCAAACCATGTAAGAGGTAATAAGGAGAGAAAGGCACAGCTGCATCTCTTCCATTTCATGGCCTCTTAACTAAAGTATTTCCAATTTTCTGTCTCTAAGTCTATAAATATCTGCCAACTGTAGCCACACTTCATGCATCCAAGGAAGCAGGAAAGCTTAAGTGTGCTGCTGCATTAGCCTTTAGGGTGGGACAAAGCTCTTAACATTTCCGAGGGAACTTTTTCCTTTCTCCCGTTTCACCAACATGACACTGAAACATTTTGCTCTTATGGTCCTTTTATGGGGGCACTGAAACCTATCAAACAGATTGCTAACATCAAGGACTATAAGTATGAAATATTTATTTTTCAATTGAGATAAAAAGGGGCACAGAAAAATTCCCTGATGGGCAAAAGAACTGTAAGAGCAGAAGCCCACCCCCCTTTCAAATGGGGTCCTTGCAAAAAATAAATAAATCAAATCCACTGCCTCAGAACTTCCCTTTGATCCAATTGGCTGTGCCCGTATGAAATATCCACCACCTTGCAGGGCCCACCCACCTACTTTTGAAGGGAGGAGAGGCGCTTCACACTCGCACAGAAGGAATGTGCACTTAAAATCATTTTTAAAAACAACGTAAAATTTAAATATCAGCCCCACTGTAGCATCTTCCATGGCACCCATACAAGACTAAGAAAATTAACAGCATAGAGGAAGCAGCTAGACTTAAACAGAATGTCCCTAAAGCCTTACCACCTCCTTGTCTCATAGCTTTTAAATTCCAATCCTGTCAATGGAAGGATATGATTAGGGTTTATTCACTAGGAACATTTCGGGGAAGCCTCTGGGGTAATAGTAGTGGCCATACTGAATCCTACATGTTGCAAGTCTCCTCCATTTGGAGAAGAATGACAATGACATAAAGCTATATGTAAGGCTTGAGGAAAACTGTTTCAATGTATCTGATGAAGTCTTCCTGCACATGAAAGCTTATACCAAGAATTAAACTTTGTTGGTCTTAAAGGTGCCACTGGACTCAGACTTTGTTCTGATGACATAAAGAATTAACCATGAATCATCTTTTGTTCCTCCTCCAGATATAATTATTGTTAGCAGTGACCTCAGTCCTAGAGAGCGCATGCCTACCGATGGTGCAAATAACTTAAACCTGAATATACAATCATTTTGTTTTGTGACAAGCCACTCAGCAAATTGGTATCTTACGTGATAATATGTCAGTGCCAATATACTTTGAAGGTTAAGACATACCTTGAGTTGTAATATTTTTCTCCTTATTTTTGGGTTTTTGTTTCCCTGACTCATTTACTTTATTTTTCCCTGAGTCACCTTTTGTACCTTTGCCTGTTTTGGACTTTCCTGAGTCTGCAGATTTGGGCCTGACTGAATCAGCAGTTTTAGATTTTACTGATTCAGTTGGAGAAACTGCTGGACTTCGCTGCCTGAAGAAATAAAAATAGGATCTTAACAATACAACTCAAGATGTGATGCCTAAAGGACACTCAGGAAATTAGTTACTCATACAATGCTACCTGTGGTACAAAAAAAGAAGAAGAAGTATCCAAAGCATTCATGCTTGACTTTACCATGCACAAGGAAACCCAGAGCCTCAGTAGTTTACCATAAAGCTAATACAGGTTTGTATAGACCACGGCATCACTGATAGTCCCATTTCTTTTGGTATAAAAGGACTGCTGGCCTCACACATAGACAATGAGTGCTACCTGAGGCTAAAATGAGCAAGCAAATCTCATAAAGTTATTTGTCTCTCCGCATTTCCCCCCATGAGCACAGTACCACTAGTGGTACTAGTAGCATAGGGCCCAAGGATGGAGTTCATATAATCAGATATGAGTGCCATGTTAGAGCCAGTGTCCCAGACAATGAGGGCTCTCATGGTTGTCTGATCTGTATGTTCTGAATAGCCCTTGTCAGGGATCTTCAGGTATGTCTGTTTAGATGTATTCCTGCATACCCATAGGAAATTCTTTCATCAGGTTACACATGTTTTTGGTATTCCTCAGAGCCAAACCACATGTGACATGGGAAATCTGTGGCGAAGACCTCAATTTTTAAAAAATGCTAAAATCAACCATTGTTGGGGGCAGGGCTTGATTAGTATCTAATGGGAGTATAGGGGAAGATTTTTTAAAACCCTTTTCTCCTGTAACAACCTCCTGATTTTAATCACCCTGAGTTGCTGTTTGCCATATTCTTTCCTTTTCTGTAGACAAACAGCAGGTCCAGGTGAGAATTTAAATCTTGAAAATGGGAGGGTGTGTGTGCTAAAGCTAGGGTTCCCAAGTACTTACCGCGATCCAGCAGGGGAAACATGCTCCCCGGCCAGACCCTTCCTCCCTGTAACAAAGCATGCCGTCGCCAGGAAGTGACTCTGGGTGACGCTCTGGCAATGAGGCTGAAAACTCGATGGTACCATCCTGCAAAGACATCTGTGTCCCCCGCCGAATCACGGTAAGTATTTGGGAAGCCTGGCTAAAGCCCACTGGCCTCAATCCAGATTGGGCTCCCGACAGTTGCTCTAGTATTTTTAAATAAAACATGAGAGATCCTTATCATGGATCTCCCACACTTACAATTAATTTGGCCCTCAGAAAGATCTGAGGATGGAAAGCCTCTTCTTTCCCAGTCATAAGAACATAAGAGAAGCCAATGTTGGATTCGGCCAATGGCCCATCTAGTCCAACACTCTGTCACACAGTGGCCAAAAACACCAGGTGCCATCAGGAGGTCCAGCAGTGGGGCCAAGACACTAGAAGCCCTCCCACTGTGCCCCCCCCCCGGCACCAATAATACAGTGCATCACTGAGAGTTCCTATCTATACCTTGTGGCTAATAGCCACTGATGGATCTCTGCTCCATGTGCTTATCTAATTCCCTCTTGAAGCTGCCCATGGCTGTAGCCGCCACCACCTCCTGTGACAGTGAATTCCATGTGTTAATCACTCTTTGGGTGAAGAAGTACTTCCTTTTATCTGTTCTAATTCTACTGTCACTTTGATTATCCTCTCAGAATGGCCACTGAAGCTGTGTGTGTTTATACTCGATATAAGTTTATGTTTAAGAATTTATATTTATATGTAATAATAGTGGCAAACTGAGGTTACATGGCCAGTTTTCTAATTATGTTACTGTACAATAATTGTGAAATTATTTTGTTACTCTCTTTTGTTCATGAAAAGGCTACTTCAAAAAACATCTTATAACAAAGAACATCTTATAATATGATATGCACACACATTTAAAATAGAAGTTGTTTCTTAATTCCAAGCACTCATGCATAAATCATAACTAGGGCTAATCCATCCAATGAAATCTGGCTGAATTGTGACTGGACATGGCTAATCACTCATATGACACACACTTCACCACAGGAGAAACTAGAGGCTATGGGACCCAAACTATTAATAAGTGAGCTGGTAACTTGAACTAGGCTTGACTACTAAACTTTCAAGAGTAAGCATATAGTAATTTACACGCATAACACAGGCCCGTAGCCAGGAACTTCTAAGTTGGGGGGCATTTAAATTCCTCGGGGGGCACGGGTTAATTCTATTAAGTGTAATTTAATTAACTTGATCAGTGCATTGCAGGGGAGAAAGGGGCAGTGTGGGAGTTCATGATAGCCAATGCATCTTACCAGAGAGTCAGGGGGCCTGGGCCAAAAGGAAGTCATGGGGCCTTGGTAGGAAGTCGGGGGGCCAAGCTCTGAAATGCCCCACTGTAGCTACGGGCCTGGCATAACAGCTCATTGAGAAGAAGGTAAAAATTACCTCAGCTCAGAGAAATCAAACTGTGACAATACAGGGTTCAGATATTCTTCCATATCTTTCAATATAGCCTGGAATTCTGATGTACAATATTCATTTTCTTCTCCTACACTCTATCACAAAAAAATTGAAAACTGAGTTAAATAAAAAGGCATAAGACTCACAGGGACAGAAAGAATTATATAATGATCAAATACAAACAGGACAAGACATGTAAAATTAGTTATATATTGGCATAACCCTAAGTATAAAATGAGCTATCATATTTAATCAATGTTGTGTTCCATATTTTTAATGGAGATTTTCCTTTAAAACAGTTTTGTAAAGGAAATATTAGCACAATAATTGTAATGGTAATAGTTACAAAACCATTCCCTAGTGAGTGTTTTTTGTTATTTTAATGCAACTTTTCTGGACTACAGCTTAACAGATACCCACAATTGTTACAAGCCATTTTAAATGTAAAAAGTAGTTATTGAACAGGCTATCCGATTATATCACTCATAAAAACACCAATATAAATGACTCCCATTTTCCCAATAAGTTCTCTTACCATATCTAATTTGCTGTGTGGCTCCTGTCCTTGTTGTAACTCATTTTTGTCTTCCTCGAGCTTTTCTGGTGATATGTTCTTCAGAAGTCTCTTCATCTTCTGTTTGAAAAACTTTACCTTCTCCAACAAATTGAAGAATGCTTCAGGATTTACAGAGGACCGTGCAATTTTAGCCTGTACTAATCATAATCAAAAACACAAGCCAGCTATAATACATTTTAATTTCAAGGATATATTGTCTTCATTTATTCATACTTCTGTAATGGCTGAGTGTAAAAAGGATCTAGTTACAAAAGGGAACAAATAATTGTAGTTGTAACTTATTCTGTGAACTAGGTGACAAGCTTTATAATAATATTATAGAATTTATGTGCAAAGATAACTACTCAGACTTTGAAAAAAGGAAACTGAATACAGTTTTGCTGAGCTGTAAAATGCAAGCCCCACGGAAACATTTGAGCAGGATCAGATCACTAGTATCCAACACGTATACTGATGATGTCATGATCCCTGACTGGATGGAAACACTGTTCCTTGCAAGAAAATGCCGTGAGAAAGCATATAATTTCTGGTTAGAGTGGAAAATGATAGACGAGCAGGTCAAACCATCAATGATAGCATGGGCTCATAGGACACAGTTTAAGTTTCGAACAATGGGACAAAATTTGGACAAGAAATATAAAATTCGTAAAAACAAGTGTCTTTAAGGAAAATATTATAAAGATGTTCTACAGGTGGCACATTTTGCCTGCTAGACTTAAAAAATTCAATGAGAAAATAAAGGAAAACTGTTGGAAATGCAATTATAGTAAAGGTACTTTCTATCACATGTGGTGGTCATGTAATAAAACAAAAAAATATTGGATTATGGTGAAAGAAATCATAGATAAAATAATAGGTAAAAACTTCCCTTTAACTCCAGAATGTTGTTTATTAAACATAATAGCAATTTGAAAAACCAAATCAATATAATTATTTAAAAGAAAAAGAAAAAGAAATGGTAATGTATAGTAACGGTACTTTCTATCACATGTGGTGGTCATCTAATAAAACAAAAAATATTGGATTATGGTGAAAGAAATCATAGATAAAATAATAGGTAAAAACTTTCCTTTAACTCCAGAATGTTGTTTATGAAACATAATACCTGATGTTTTCAGGGAAAAAGAGATATATCTATTAATGCAAATTCTTACAGCAGCAAGAATTGTTTTCGCTAAGAGGTGGAAGGAGAGCGATATACCATCTAAAGATGAAATTATTATTAAACTGTTTCATTTAGCAGAAATGGAGAAATTAACCTGTATTATTGAAGAAAGAAATATGGAATAACATGAAAAATATTGGCAAAGGTTTTATAATTGGTTGAAAGAGTCTAATTTTGGTTCAGTGACTTAAGGCTTATTTTTTCTTTTTTAGTGTCAAATGTTGAGATTTTGTATTCAAAGTTGTGGAAGAACTCTGCATTTACCTAAATATGTTAACAGGAAATACTGTTGTCTTATAGCAATTTGAAAAACCAAATCAATATAATTATTTAAAAGAAAAAGAAAAAGAAATGGTAATGAAGCAGGTGTCAACTGTACAACAAACAGGATGTGAAAAAAGTGAGCAGGGGCTTAGGGGGACATTCTGATTCCCCTCAAAAGCAGAACCTCTGTGCTAAAAACATTGTGTGCAAACATTTGGCACTGCTCTGCTAAGAACAATACAGTCCTATCTGCACTCCTTAGATACACTTACATGTAGGTTGAGTAGGTTTTCCTTTTTGTTGCCCACCCTTTTCCTTTTGCTGCCCACTCTTTTCCTTCTGCTGCCCACTCTTCTCCTTCTGCTGCCCACCCTTGTCCTTCTGCTGCCCACCCTTGTCCTTCTGTTCTCTCAGCTCCTTTGGATTGGTCAACTTTACTTTCTCAAGAACTGCACCATACAGGAGAGATCTGTGGAAGGGAAAAAAATCCTATTCATACAATTTGAACTGTTAAGTCAATGCCTCTTTAGAGTTATACATGCACACCCTAGTCTCTTATTGGTTTCTCATCGGACCTAGAAAAGTATTTCTCGAGAAATGGTGTAAATAGGCCAAATCGCTGTTTGGGAAGGCCTTCTATGTCACATTCTTGACAATCTTGGCTCTCCTTTTCCCTGCTTTCCTTTTTTGTGGGGATTAGAGCAGGATGGTGGTTTCTTGGGATACAGGGCAAGGGAGCAAAAATGGGGGGACAATAGAATGCACTGGAAGTGGGAGAGGGTGCCGAAGTACTGGGAAGTATGGTTAAAGCTGTACGGTTTCTGCTTTGAATCTTAGCCTTATTTCTTTAGATTTAGATAAATGCAAAAGACCAATAATATTGTGACATACTAACTTTGGGATAAATGTAAATAAATGCAAATAAAGTGGTTCCTCAGTGGAACAGGCTTCCTCAGGAGGTGGTGGGCTCTTCTTCTTTGGAGGTATTCAAACTGATGGCCATCTGACAGCAATGCTGATTCTCTGAATTTAGGCAGACCATGAGAGGGAGGGCAGGAAGAGTTGAATCAGTGCTTAGTTCTTGTGGCCCTTTCTTACACACCCAGGGAAATGTTGGTTGCCACTCTGGGGTCAGGAAGCAATTTTTCTCCAGGCCAGTTTGTCTGGGGATCCTGGAGGGTTTTTTTTTGTCATCTTCTGGGCATGAAACCAGGGTCATTGGGTGTGTGTGTGTGGGGGGGGTATTTGTGAATTTCCTGCATTGTGCAGTGGGTTGGAATAGATGATCCTGGAGGTCCCTTCCAGCTCTATGATTCTAAATATATAAGAAGTGATTATGGGGAAAATATAGAAAACAAACTGAATGCTTTGCTCAGCAACATTTTTCAGATGCTACCAATTTTGACCATATTCCTCTGTCAGGGAGTAGAAATTAACTGAAAGCAAATACTGCTTGTAGAAAACCCACACTTAGAAGGCAGGAAAAGATATAAAGTGCAGAAGATAGTGTCCATGGTTCATACTAATGGTAGGGTAACTGTCTTGAATGAATCGATGACAGAAAGATGACAGGGGCTGCAGAGGGATATAAAGAAGATGGCTGGGCACATAGAGATAAAGAATGATAGAGGTAGTAAATCTCAGGTTCAGAGCTGTTTGGGACAAGATGGAATGCTGTTCAGAATGGGTTTGATTCTACATAGTATTTGGACAGCTTTCTTTCTTAGGCTCCATGATAATCTGTACGTTCTACTAACGCCAGGCTTTATAGTGCCCTCTGCACCACATACAAATAGAGACAGGGTGTAGTGAGATATTATTGTGGTTCTTCCACATCTTTGAATACTAAGAATGGGGTCACCCTATTATTTTAAGCAATATTAATTAATGGGCAAACGGCAACAAAAAATTGAAGCTACAAGGAACTGAACCGTATCTTTATCAATATTTATTATTTATTGCCTCAAGTTCTGAACACAAGAAAAGTAGGTCTTAACTGAGTCATATATCTAGAATTGTATTTCCACAGGCTGACTAAATCTATGATAAAAATAGTTTTCTAATGTTCAGCTTATTCGGTTGAAGCTAACCAAATCCCCCCCTCATCTAGCAAAAGTGGTTTGTTAGCAGTTCCACCGGGGTGGATGAAGTCTAAAAACAAAGAGGTGTGATTAAATCAGTTGCATCTAACTTCCAGGAGCACACACAATGATCCTTCTGAATTGGACTGCTTGCACATCTTGTAATGGCTAGATTGCTTGACCACTCTTGACCCCTAACGTTTGGACATGGTGATGGGACTGAATATAACTTCCCCGTTCCTCCTCTAGCTATCAAAGCTGGCAGTGCCAGAGATTTGACAGCAGGAACGTAGCATGCAAACACTCACCATCCCCTAGTGAGTGTTTTTTGCTATCTTGATGAAACTATTCTGGACTACAGTTTAACAGATAACCACAGTTGTTACAAACCATTTCAAATGTAAAAAGTAGTTATTAAACATGCTATTTGATTATATCACTCATAAAAACACCAATATAAACACCTATATGGCCAGAGGCCTGCATATCTTTGAGGCCACCTCTCCCCTTATGAGCCCTGTAGGACATTACAATCTGCAAACCAGCATCTTCTGGTGATCCCCGGCCCCAGGGACATCCGTCTTGCCTCAACGAGGGCCAGGGCTCTTTTGGCCTTAGTCCCCACCTGGTGGAATGAGCTCTTCCAGCCATCAAAGCTGGCAGTACAAGATATTTGAAGCAGGAACATAGCATGCAATTATACAAGTTATCTATAGAGAAGGGCTACCTAGTCTCACTTAGCTCTTTACCCCTATACACTTCCTTATTGACAGGGTTTAACATGGCAAGTGAAACCAAATGATACATTAAAGCAGATGACCTTACTCAGAGTTCTGTCTACATTGGGGTTGGGCCAATAATCTATCAAACAGACACTACAAAATAAGGAGATATAATGGACAATTATATCCATACCTGTCTTCTGAATGCTGGAGAATGATTATGTGAAAATGTGGTGGCAATTCATTCATTATATTAAAGTGCTGTGTAGAAATGCAGAGGTTTCCCCACGCCTACACAAACAAGTCAAATAACAGATTACTTTTCAGAATGTTTTAAAATGAAGTTTCAGTATTTTCATGGTGGACGCTACTATTTGCTATGCTAGAAAGTTACATACAAAACAGGAAGGAGAAATGACATTACCCGTGGTTGTTTTTATTCAGTTGTCAGTGGCTCATTTGATCAGTGAAATATTTGTGCAGTAATAAGCACTTGAGGGATTTAGCAGCAATTCTTTTTAGAGATATACAGATATAACTTGTGGAGGAAGAGACCAGCAAAGTAATCCCCTGCTCTAAACCCATGAAAATCAGTGCGCTTAGACTGGAATAATTCTGCAGAGGCTGAACTATGAATTAACATATGCTCCCCCCAGATCAAGTGTTCTAATCCCATTTGGTTTTCATCCCTAACTGAATGGGCGATTATAATTTTTAACTGATCCAATTACCTTTGAGATAGCAGCTAACCTCTGCTCCACACTTTTTAGGAGATTGCTTGTTGTATCTCCTCTTTGTTGAAGATGGTGCTGCAGATGCAACATTGCTGACAGTTGTGAACTGCTGGTATTCCAGGAAGCTGACAGCAGGATATTTTTTATCATCACTGACGCCAAACAGCTCTGTAATATTTTAATATTAGTCTAGTTTGACAAATGTTTTAAAGCAGACTGTTACTAAAAATCGTATCAGTGAGCATGAAACAAAGTAGCACATATGCTACTATTATTTACAACCACAGTAAAGTGAAAAGGCTCCAAAAATAAAATATGACGAACAGCTTTTCTCAACTATTGTTCCTTTCAGGGAATGATCTTGCCATCCACCTTGTTCACTGAAACATTCTTCTGTGCCCAGTGAATGATAACTTACATTTCTTAACCAACAATGCTATCCTGAGCAGAGTTACACCACTGCTAGTGGTTGGCTGATCTACCCTGATGTCGTGGTGGGGGGAGAATTGGAATCTTGGGGGGGGGGGCAGGAACTGGGCAAACAGAAACAGGCTGTTACTATTGACTGAACTGCTTTGAGAGGTTGGACAAAGCTGAACAGCCTAGGAAAGGCAGGACCTGTGGAGGAAATCAAACACCTAAGATGGCAGTACAGGCATAATACTGCACAATTGTTAATGCTAAGTAGGAACAGAATGGAATTTGTGTCAGTGTGATTAGTGAAGAGGAGCAGCAGCTGAGCTCATGGCATGAACCACCTAATCACTGGTAGGATATCGCCAGTGTTACATCTACACCAGACTTTGGGCCAAACTAGGCTTTACGGTTTTTAGCGAGTTGAGTCTAGGTTCCCCCAACCCAATTCACTTTCCCTGAAGCCACAAGGCAGCTGCAGGGAATGTCAGTTTAAAGATCAGAGGGTGCACTTTTCAGCAGGGAACTGCAGTGTGTGTGTGGGGGGGACTCCTGTCTCACCCACTCCTCAGTTTTCAGAAGCTGGAACCGCCCAGCCAGTGGGTTTATTCACATAACTTTGGAGTAGCATATGCTTACTCTGCATGGCACTCCAAAGTTACGTAAAATAACTTGGTGCTGGGGTCATTTCTGTTTCTGAAAACAGAATGGGGGGTCAGGAGCCCTCCTGCCTCTACACTGAAGTTTTAAGGCTCTAAAGAACCCCTTTCTGATCTTTAAAATGATATTCCTTGTAGCTGCTGTGTGGCTGCAGGGAAAGGCAGCTGGGTCAGGGAATCCAGACCCAACTTGTGAAAAAAAAAGTAACATCTAGTTGGTCCGTTTAATAAAGTTATCACTTAGAAATGCCTTTCCTTGGGCCGGTTTTTGTGACTGGCCATTAACAGGGATTGGGGGGTAGGGAATGTCCATGATTTCTGTGGATTTTCTCCTTGAGGTTACAGCACCACACTCTGCATTCTATGCTGTGTTCATGAAGACACCCCCCCAAAAAAAAACCCTCTCCAGAACAACTTTTTGTATGACATGGAAAGCTTCAGAAAAGAGGACGAGATGAGTATGTTTCATCCACAGTGTTTTGGTTCTACTCATGTGTCGTAAGCAAAGAGACAAAACATTTTTTCATTTAAAAAATAGGAAGTAAAAACTGTGAAGTCAGCTATCTTTATGAAACACATTCTGTTAACCAAGGTACTTTGCTTATAACACATCTGTAACCTATCACCATTCGACAATAGTAATTTGTCCACTACTGTTATCCACCAAATGAAATATACTAAATAAGAATTATTATTACATTCTATGGCAATGGCAACAATTAGACAAAACATTTCATTTAATTCATTGATGGAATGGTGCAAATATATTTTTAAAATCTTTAAAACCTCATTTAGTATTCATTTCATTAATTATTTCCTATACAGGTTGTCAAAGCAGATACTGCCATACCTGATAAAGGGCCAAAAACTGACTTGCTGAAACTGGGTCAAATTTTCCAAAGCACTCCACCATTTCCAAACTAGCAGCAGCCAGGATGTTATGAAGGTTATTATTAATTGCTACATTAATGCACTGTAGCAAAATCTCACTTGACTGATAAAGGTATTTCTGGGTCCAAGTCTGTCTGCTCTGTACAATAAAAATAAAAAATATTTGCATCTGATACTGTTAGAACTGCATAAATATATGAAGAAGAAGAAGAGATTGGATTTATACCCTGCCCTTCACTACCCAAAGGTGTCTCAGAGCGGCTTACAAACTCCTTTCCCTTCCCCTCCCCACAACAGACACCCTGTGAGGTAGGTGGGGCTGAGAGAGCTCTTGACAGAAACTGCTCTTTTTCAAGAACAGCTCTTATCAGAACTACGGCTTGCCCAAGGTCATCCAGCCAGGTGCAAGTGGAGGAGTGGGGAATCAAATCCAGTTCTCCCAGATTAGAGTCCACGCAGTTAACTACTACACCAAACTGGCTCTCAAATATATCACCAACGTATGGTTATCACTGTGATGAGGTGAAGTCTCTAAAACATTTGATACTTCTAACTGAAGTACTAAATTCTCCTTTATCTAGTCTTCATTATGATAGCAACAAATGTTTGGGGCCACATTGGTCACAGAGACTACAAGGTGAGTGAATTTGTGAAGTGTCAGTTCATGAAACACACTTTCTCTCTGGAATCCAGGTTCAGGAAGTCATTTGCCTATGTCATCTATATATCTAATTCCCAACTTGCCCCCCGAGTGCAGATCGCTAAATTAGCGCTCCGGGGGCAGCTGGGGAGGTTTGTGCACATGTGGGCACAAAAATAGAAAAAGTTGAAAAAAATTCAGGGGGATGTTTAAATCCCCCCGAAAGTGCAAGAGCGTCTCCTGCGCGTGCTCAGGAGATGCTCTGCGACCTACCGGGCTTGCGTGCGGGGGAAGGCAGGCAGGCAGGGCGGGCGGGCGGAATACAAACGGTCAGGTCAAGCATGATAAAGGGATTTGAACCAGGTACAGAACCAATGGGTCACTTTCCCGCTGGCGGGTGAAAGGAAACGGTTGCGCGCTCATTCCCTGAGAACCAGGCTATCTCTAGACATAATACAGGTGCAGTTCCCAGGCTCTAAAAGCAACAAGCTGGCAGTCAAGCGTACTCCCACATCACATCCTCCAGTTGTTTGGCTTAGGCATTACAGCAGAGTAAAATACTGGCGAACAGGGGGGGGGGGGGGTTAGCAACTGTACAGAGATACAACTAACACAGAACACCATGGCAGCTTGCTGACACAAACTGAACATGCATTTTGTTTTCAACATCCTCCCAAAGTTTTCTTGTGAAGAGTGTAAGAGTAAGAATTCCCTCCCACCAGAGCAGCTTGTTCCTTAAACTACTGCATGAGTCACAATTTTGGCCCTCCTGATTGGAAGGAGGCAAGACCAGAGCAGTGATGCATGCAAACAAACAATGGGGAGCCTCCTTTGAAGACCAGTTAATCTTGCCTAGTCTTTGGTTGGGAAATGACTATATGGTTCCATCATATATAACATAGAGATGCAACAGAATTATCATTCCTACAAAGAAGGCAAGGCCAAATGTGAATTATGCGCGCACACACACAGAGCTGGTTTGCCTTTGCCTTCCTCTGTAGTCTTCCTTGGAGGTTGCCCATCCAAGTACTAAACAGGGCTGACCCTCCTTAGCTTCTGAGATCTGACGAGATTGGGCTGTAGCATGCCAGCTTCCAAGTAACCCTACTCGGGAAGCTCAACATAAAAAAAAACTAAGATCATGGCATCCGGCCCCATCACTCCTTGGCAAATAGAAGGGGAAGTCGTGGAAGTAGTGACAGACTTCACATTCCTGGGATCCCAGATCACCACAGACTGTGACAGCAGCCATGAAATTAAAAGACGCCTGCTCCTTGGGAGGAAAGCGATGGCAAACCTAAACAGCATGATAAAAAGTAGAGAAATCACCCTGTCAACAAAAGGCCGCATGGTCAAAGCAATGGTATTCCCAGTAGTCATGTATGGCTGCGAGAGTTGGACTATAAGGAAGGCTGAGCGCCGAAGAATAGATTCTTTTGAACTATGGTGCTGGAGAAGACTCTTGAGAGTCCCTTGGACTGCAAGAAGATCCAATCAATCAATCCTAAAAGAAATCAACCCTGACTGTTCCCTGGAAGGCCAGATAAAGAAACTGAAGCTCAAATACTTTGGCCACCAAATGAGAAGGGAACCCTCACTGGAGAAGACCCTGATGCTGGGAAAGATTGAAGGTCAAAGAAGACGGGGACGGCAAAGGATGAGATGGTTGGACAGTGTCATCGATGCAACTAACATGAAATTGAGCCAACTTCAGAGGACGGCGGAAGACAGGAGGGCCTGGCGGGGATCTGGTCCATGGGGTCGCAAAGAGTCGGACTCGACTGTGCGACTGAACAACAACAACAACAAAACTCGTCTCCTATCCCTAAGCTGGTTTACAGGTGGGGGAGATGCAGGTGGTGAGCTGCTTACGGCGGGATCAATCCCAGGTGCAAACCGTCCTGTAGTTGGCTCAGATTGCTGTGTATCCTCAAAAAGTCAAACAATGAACACACAGATGAGTTCATCCAGTGCCCAACAGAGCACAACTGTGCAGCAATTAGCCTTTAGGTGGCATTGAAAAATGCATGCCTGAGGGAGGAGCCTACTACTTTCAGTGAATACAACAGGACAGCACCCAGAAGACCATTTGGTCACACCAGGAACCAGGAACCAGGAACACTGGTACAATCTTGGTCTCATTGGTGTTAATAGTGTTTTTTCCCCCCTATGGCCACATTCAAATGTCTTGACAAGGTAAGTCCATGAAGGGCATGAGCACAGTTTGTTGGCATGTTTGCATGTTCCCTCCCACCTCCTTCCTCCATTCCTGCACTCACTGCCTTCTCTAGCAAAAGATTAACTGTCTGTTCCTGGACTGCTATTCCAGGCAACAAGGAGTAAATACCCATAGAAGATAAGGAAGCAATACAAGGAATCCAACTGCTGTTAAAACAAAGGGAGAGGGAGAAAGAAGATAAGACACCCAACACCTAAAAAGCCTTTAGCAGCACTACCTAGGCCAAACTAAGGGCGTGATCACACGCACAATTAGCCCTGCCACAGGTGTGAATGCCGGGCAGATTTAAAGGGCGTGATCAGACATTAACACCTGGGAAGCGCCCTGCACCGTTCGGCAACCTGCTTTGCTCCAGTAGTAAATGGGTTGCGACGGGCCACAGAAGGAGTTTTCCATGTCTGATCACTCCAGTGCGCTCTCATGGCATCAGGATAGTCTGATCAGGCCATCCCGACCCTGTGCTGTTGTCTCTCCCCCCCTTCTCAGTATGCACATCATCACAAACTCCATAGGGAGACCTCAGCTATCCTCCACTGTGTGAAGCACTTGGTACTCAGGCCAGTAGGAAAGTACTTGAAACAAAGAGGTAGATTGTGGTAAGGGAGATTGTGGTAACGAAACCCGACTCATCCGCAGTTGCGTCTGATCACGCAGTGGTGGGCTGTGTCAGCCGCTTCCAAGGGCTATATGATAGCGCAACTGCGGGTCAAATTCCTCCGGAGGAAATAGCCTCGCTCCCCCCCTGCTTTATCTCGTCTGTGTGACCACCCCCAACATGTATCAAAACATTCCTCCCTACCACCACCTTACCAAGCTATACTCCACTGTGTGAAGCACTTGGTACTCAGGCCAGTAGGAAAGTACTTGAAACAAAGAGGTAGATTGTGGTAAGGCAGATTGTGGTAAGGCAGGGGATAAGGGAGGGTATAGGTTTTCACCCACCCTTGCTCCCTTTCAAAAACAGATCCTCCTTCCACCCCACTTAATACGTGAATGGGATAGATGCTCCCGTTGCAACTTATTTCAAGTCAAGTATTTTAAGAAGTGAGCAGTGACTCACGAAAGCTCGTACCCTACCACAGATTTGTTGGTCTTTAAGGTGCTACTGGACTCTTGCTCTTTTCTGTTGCTGCAGACTAACTTGCCTACCTGTCTTGATCTATTTTAAGTCAGTTTCAGTTTATAAGATTCCATAGTGTCTCTTCCTCTCAGTTTAAATATTATTAATAAACATAACAATAAGACAAAGAATATCCCTTTTGGTGTCTGAAATATTCACATTCTGTCTTTCCACTACAAAATGCCCCAGGCAAAGACTGTTCCAAACAAACCATTTCAAACTAACATCCACTACAAGCAATGCCATCACTTAAAATCACAAAATAGGAAACAGTAAAGTAACAATTGAGGGGGGAAAACAGCAACAGAAAGCTGCAGACAGCTTCTTGAAACCATTTACCCAGAGGCTCGATTATATTTAGTAAAAGTATGTCCATACCATGGCATTTTCACACCAGAGAATATCTGAAGAGAAGGGATGAGTTCGGTCAGCAAGTAAACGCAGAAATCTCCCACTGAGATGGAGGTATTTGGCTTTGATATCAAGACAGCCCATATACAGAGTCTGCAGACTTGTTAGTTGAGCCTGGATATTATGGGCAATAGTATGGCTTAAGGTTAGCCATGCCTATTTAGCCAAGAAAACATAAGTTAAAATCAGTGTTTTCAAATATGCGGGGCACTTGCAATATTACATGTGAGAAAATACTTTTAGAAACTGAGGCTTCATTAAAATTCTTTTAATCGTCCTCTTCAGTTTTGCAATAACTACATTCCACCCCTAACAGCTAGCGAGAACTTTAAGAAAAAGTATCTGCCTACTCAAAGGACTTCCCTCTATCTTTCACAGTACTTCTGTCAGCCAAATCATCAATGGGCATCACTTCTGGGAAATACCCTTAAGTGAAGGAATACAAAATAAAGTGTATGTGTGTAGACTGCAAAGTTGCAACATTCCCCCCATTTGTATTATTTACAAATGTAATACAGATGTGGAAAACAAATAAAAGCCAATGTTTTACCTCAGATTTCTACAAGATGCTTAAAATAAAAGCCAATGTTTTACCTCAGATTTCTACAAGATACATAAAATAAAAGCCAATGTTTTACCTCCGATTTCTACAAGATGCATAAAATGAGCATAGAATTATTAATTTGCTTTGGTTCTGAGCAGGGAATAAATGTAAAACAATAATATTGCTAACAGTAAGTACAGATATTAAAAATGAAGGGTACAATTCATCTCTATATGGGAAAAGCTTTGTGTAGAACTATTGGAATCATTTTTCATCTCCATCCCTGACCAGCCCCTGGGCTTTTCTGGATTCTCATTTTACTTGCTGGTAAGTTTTTGTTTCTTGGATTCCCCCCACCCCCCCAGTTCTTCATGTGTATTGCTCCCTCTAGTGGTGAATTCTGTATCACACAGGTTCATTTCCAGCATATCTCCCTGTAGATTTAAATGCAGGTTTTTATTCTGGACATAAATCTGTGTGATATCAAATCAACCACTAGAGAGAGCAAAAACATGCAAAACAACCCCCCTGTTGCCAGAGGTGCTGCCTTTTACTCTTGGGTAGCCCCAATAGCAAGGGCACCCCACTTCTAACCTGACCCAGAGACCCACAAAAACTCAGGCCAAGGAAAGCACTCCTGGTTCTAACTCCGCACAAGGAAAGCACTCCTGGTTCTGAAACACAGAGCTAGCCACAGCTCTGAAAAAGGGCTCTCCATTTTCAGGTGACAGGCAACCTCAGAGCAAGCCTCCAGTCTTCCCCCTCCACCCAGCAGAGATTATGTTTATGGAATAACAATGAGTTCTAGCAGGTAAAGTATCTACATTTTTAAAGTCTATTTAATTCTTTGTCTGAATACTTGTCTTTTCTACTCTGTCCCTCAAGATAAACCAATCAAGCATTCAAATGATTAACGATCCTTCCTGACGCTAATCAGGGACGTCTCCCACCTTTTGTTTACCCTGGCCAGGACCATTAGTGGTCAGATAAACCATTTAACTAGCCACCCAACACCTGGCTTCTGTTGTTAAATCTAGACCCTGCCTCTCTGGAAGCTCACTGGTCACACACTCCTGGGACTCAACATTGGTCCAGGAAATCTATTGTTCTCACCTGAGACCAGCCCCCAGGACCGGCCATTGGTCTGCATTGTCTTCCGTAGGATATATCCCAGCATAAACATGGCCTTAGACCGTGTGTTTTTTCTGCCATAATCAAAATGGCAGTCCACCCCTAAGCTCTCTGAGTTTAGGCCACAATCCATGGACCTCTGCACATCTGGACCAGGTTGTATAACCCCTCTATAAACTATCAATCACCTCTGCTTCCTTAGTTCTATATTGTGTGTGTGTGAGTGTTTGAATATTGTTTGTATGTTTTAAATCATTATTTTAGCCACCCAGTTTCCGTGTCTATTCCTGGGTTCTTGGGAATTCTAACTCTGGTATACACAGGTCAGATCCTATAGATAAGCCAATTGCATATTAATAATTATAATTCCCCATATTTATTAAATAATAGAGCAATTTGGCTAACCCCCCCCCAAAAAACCCAGGAATTTACCAGGGAGTAAAATGAGAATGCAGAAAACCCCCTTGTTCTGGCCATTAGATGGAACCAGAGGTTAATTTATCTTTTGTAAAAATTGAAATGTGTTTTTATTTTAAAAGACCTATACAAAACTTTTCATAACAAACAGCAGTACCATAATTAAAGTTCCTATGACAGAAAAGAGGAAAGTATGTAGGACAGATCTGCTTAGAAAAGTAAACAACAGAAGAAGCAATTACCTGCTCCACAGTACCAGGCTCTGGCGTAAATCTTACAAAGTCCTCAATGATTTGCTCAATTTGTCCTTCTCCTGCTTCTTTCTTTTTTTTCTCAATGTTCATAAGAACTAGAATGTCCATCAGGATCTCCACAAGGCTCAACTTCATGCTAGCAAGTCTTCTCATCAATGGAGTATTAATATTTCTAGTCTGAAAATTTAAAACAAAAATTAAAATGGAAGACAAAGCCTTTGAAACAAACTAGAATCAAGGTTCCATGATAACTGTACATGGGCATAAACTGAACTACGAAGCAAAAATTGTAACAAATTTGCCCTGTATCATCATTCACAAACTTTTAAAGCAGTTTGTGGCAGTTCATGGATGGAACAGAAAGAAGGGGTTTAAAGGGACTCAGAGTCTCTTCAAACCCCTGCTTTAAGTTCCCTGCAAAAATTGCAAAAACAGCTGAGTGGCAGGGAGGCACTCTCTGCCATGTAGCTGTTTTGGGCTGTCTTGTGCACTCCTCGCTGCTCAGATGCTTTAAATGGACTGCACAAAACAGCCCCCCAAATAGCTGAGTGGTGGGGAGCAAGCTGCTCCCTGTCACTCAGCTGTTTTTAGGGCTTTCTGTAAACCCTGTTCAAAGTGAGTGTGGCCCCTTTCAACAGGGTTTGTGGGGTCATGAACCATGAACGAGTTTGGTTCACGAACCAGACTCCTGGTTCAGTTCTTGGTTCAGCCACAAATCATGAACTGAACTGCATTTTCTTGGTTCATGCCCATCCCTTTTGATAACAGTGAACACCAACGATTATAAGCATCTATGGCCCCGGTCATATGGGCTGGATATCGCGGAAGGGAGGCGTGGCAAATTGCCCCGGTGCAGTTTGATCCGCGATTATACGATCAGACACGCTGGTGGCACACCATGGGTCCTTCCCTCGGCGCCGGCGCATAAACGAGGGGCCGGAGGGGAAAGCCGTGCGCCAGCGTAATTACACCACGGGCATCCAGAGGCAGCCCGTGGCAAACCGTTTGCCAGTACTTTGGAGGTACTACTTTTTTATCACGCTTTTCAGTGGTAAGCCACGGGTGCACTCCACTTCCCAGATGTTGGGGTGTGATAGTGCACGGATAATCCATCCACCACCTGTGGCTCTCCCGTGGCAAATTCGCCGTGTCAGTGGGGCCTATGTTAGCCCCCCCCCAAAAAAAAGCTACCAAGAATTCTTTTTAGGAGGTAGCAGAGGTCTTAGGACCAGACTAGAAATCTTAAGACCAAATCAAGGGTCTTAAGAGCCAATTTGGTGTAGTGGTTAAGAACAGCAGACTCTAATCTGGAGAACCAGGTTTGATTCCCCACTCCTCCGCATGCAGCCAGCTGGGTGACCTTGGGTCAGTCACTGTTCTCTCAAGAGCAGTTCTCTCAGAGCTCTCTCAGCCCCACCTACCTCACAGGGTGTCTGTTGTGGGGAGAGGAAGGGAAGAAGATTGTAAGTCGCACTCAGACTCTGAGTGAAGGGTGGGGTATAAATCCAACTCTTCTTCTCCAGGTTATCAAACATCTTCCCTACCCTTTCCCTCTTTTTTTTTGTTTTTAAACAACCAAGCTGATTAAGAGCTCTGAAGAGCTCAAATGCTTGTACATTGCTTGGTGGTACATTGGGTGGCCCTCTAAAAGAATCTTTAAAAATAAATAAATAAAAGGTATTTCACGGCATTCGTTACTGGACTGCTGTGTAGTCTGCTGTATTCATTTTGTTAGTGGATGGCAAGTATTCTAAAGAGCCTTTTCAGATAACAGCAACAACAAAAAAGCAAACCTTCCCTTCAGCATCCTGATCCTATGCATGATTACTCAGGGGAAAAGTCCAATAGAGTTCAGTGGGACTTTTTGGTTGGTTTGCTTTTAAAAATATATGTGGCTTATAAAAACTTAATAAAATTAGCACATTTGATAAAATATATAGTCAAAACAAATTAGAAAACACAGCATCATGTCTAGTTCAGCAAAAAGAATCAATTGCTGCCCTAGTTCAATCTTTTTCACTTGGTATTCTAAAAGACTACAGATTTACATGCTGTATGAAATGACAGGAAGGAGGGTGGTCTTCCAGACTTCTTCTGGAAGGCTGTTCAATAATATTCAAGCCATAACTGAGAAGGAATATGGCTTTACTGAAACAAACCGTACTAGACAGAAAGAAGCAACAACCAGAAGTGATTTCTGGGCAGATCTAAGGTTGGTGAATAAGGAGAGATGGCCCTATAAATAGCATATGGATCCCAGAGTGTGAAGGGCTTTATAAATAGACATGAGCTTTGGAATGGACTTTGGAAACAATTGGGCAGATGTATTAATGTTGGTTGCCCTTGACAGTCTATTATTCTAGATGGTCACCATAATTCAACAAAGTCACCTTTGCAACTCCTAACATCCCCCAGAGCATTCTGGAAACCAGATCCAAATGTCTCAAGTGCCAGTCATTTTAATTGGTCGGTCACCCCGGCAGAGTAACCGAGTTAATACCACCTGCATCTTAAGCAAAAAATTATCTGAGTCACTGTGGTCAACAGGAGAGGTAGCATATAAATATTAGAATAAATAAACCACCCCAAAAAGTTTTAATGCTAATCTTTGAACCCGATCACCAACAAAGCACTTGTTGCAAAAGTTAAAATCTAGCATATGCCTTTTTTCGCATGTTGAGCTCAAAACAACAAAGGACAGTCCCATAGTTGCCATGAACTCCTGAGCGTGACCAGATAAGATGGACTCAGTATAAATGCTGAAATTCTCCAGAACCAGTAATCAGGGCAATTGTACCATATTGAGTTATGTTTTTCGGTACCCTCTTATATTGTTGTACAGTTTAGTGTTGTGACAGATGCATAATCTGCTTCCTGTCAGAGAGGTTTTATCAATTGTGATGGAGCACTGGTTGTCATCAGTCTTCCCTGTGAAATTCCTATAAGGGTTTAACCCTGTTAAATGTGTAAACAAAGCCTCTGGGTATTACTGTGTGGGAAATGAGCTTTTAGTATGCTGTTAATTCTCACTGGTTCTGCAATCTTGTTGCTTACTTTGTATATCAGTGCAGTGAGGAGATGCACAAATCAGTTAAACCTTGATACAGAAAAAAACTAGGGCAATGAATGTCCGTAGATTACATTACAGCTGTGTTTCATCTATCATCTTGGCATTGTTATACCTATAGTATAGACCAGGTATCCCCAACTAGGGGTGTGCAAAAAAAAAAAATCAGTATTTTTTCAGTTTGGGTGTACTGAACCCAAAGACATCGGTATTTCCCAATATTCCCGAATCCCAATATTGGTATGATATTGGGATTTGGAAAATAATCAGGATTGTCATACCCCATAGGGTATAACGGAGAAGGGGGTGGGTGAACTTGCGCTGCTTCTGGGTTCATTCATGTGCAGCGTGGCTTGCAAAAGCCATTTAATGGGAAAGTTCCCTTTAAATGGCTTTTGCAAGCAAGCTGAGCTCGAGCTACATGCCGCCCCAGCTGATCCTCTCTTGCTCAGAGCTGCAAAAGAGGATCAGCTGGGGTGGCGTGGAGCTAACAGCTCCATTCCAGTTTGGCTGAGGCTGGCTCACCTGAATAAAAGTTTTTTTTAAAAAAGTTTTTTTTTCAAGCTGAGCCATATCAGTAGTCGAATACAGCTCTCTGATTTGTATTTGGCTTAATAAATGCCCAAAAAATACTATTGAGGATTTTTTGGGGTATTTATTCAGTTTGGTTTGTACTGAATGCACACCCCTATCCCCAACCTTCTTGAGCTTGTGGGCATATTTGAAATTCTGACACAGTGTGGTGGGTGCAGCCAAAAAAATGACTACCACAAATTGGCTGCCTCAAGAGGTGGAACCCGTCACAAGACAGCTGTTACAATCAAATGTCTCATAGACAAACCGAAGGCTTGCAGGGCAGAAGTCCCACCCAGCACTTGGCGGGCACCGGGAAAGGTGTTGGCAGGCACCATGTAGTCCATGGGCACCACCTTGGGGACCCGATTTAGACCGTAGGAGTAGACAGAGTAAGCTTTACCAATGGCACAAAGTGGGAATGTTGTCGCTTTGGTTCAGTTTCAGGAACCATTGGGTCAGATCCCATGAACCACCAATGGAATGCATTGATGATCTGAGATCTTCTCTGCCCTTCCCTTCCCTCAAACCGCTTCTGATCCTGGGACAGTTTGTTCTGGGGGTTAAGAGACTTGTGTGTACTAAGAGCTGCACGAGGCAGGTGGCTCTAGAGGAAAGAGAAAGAGAATAAGATCCACTCATGGAAGAGAAATAGATGAATATAAGAAAGAAAGGAGCAATTTCACTATCTTCCCCACTGCAGCTCCCCAACCTACATGGTTATTAGGCCTTTGGTTCAGTTGGTGGATATCAAATTATATTGGACCCCCCTTGCTCCACCTGTTCCATCTACTGGCGCTGTTGCAAGTATCATCTCTATGCTGCTCCTTATGGCAGTTTTGCCACTTGCTAATAAATTAAAACAGTGAGCACACATAGAATGGGAACTTTTTGAGTGTACTTTAATCATATTGAAGCCATCTTGAAACTTATGCTATGATTGTACAGAATGGGATTTTATTGTACTGTTTTAATCTTGTAAATTGTTATATCTATATGTTGTAACCTGCCCTAAGCCCTACTTGTGGGGGAGGGTGGGATAAAAATCAATCAAAATTTTAAAAATGTACGTGTCTCTTGACCCCAGGAATAAACTGGGGGGGGGGGAGTATAGTAATTAATTCTAACAATCACCCTTGGATAATTGTTCATATTCAGTTTTCTGTTCCTGAATTGTCAGATATTTACCACCTTGGTGAGGGACTGTCAATATTTTCTCTTGATCAGCAACGATCTTCACATTATGGAAATTCATTAACGCTAACTATTTTACTTACCTCATTAATTGGAAGTAAATTATTAATGTGCCGAAAAAGCTCTTCCACTTGGGATGTTGCTTCTTCAGCTAATCTGTATGCATCTAGGTAATGACTCTGCTTATCTATAGTGTATGATGCATGTTTACCAAGCATCCTGTAAGAAAGGCAATACAGAAATACTAAATATGATGATGGGGGTCCAGGGAAAAAAGGGGGGACACTGCACTCTCCCCCCAATTTTCTACTGCTGTAGGAGGAAAAGCTATAAAATGTTGTTAAAAATTTAAAATATTCTATGAAATAAATTGCTCTCCTAATAGATGGCAAAGCAGGCTAATATTGAAAATAATATTACTGTTTTCCTTTCTATCCTCTTTAAGCACTTGGAGTCATCATGGGGTAATATGTAAAACTGACTTTATTGGGAATCGTTTCAAAAATGGAAACAGGCATGCAAAATAAAGGAACAAGTAGAAGAGAACAAGATTAATTTTTTTAAAAGTTGTGCAAAGTTCTTGGCTTTCTCATGTACCTTAAGAAAACTGTGGAAGTTCAGAAAACTAAATTCTGCAGCCACGTTTGGGTGAGATGCTGGCCTTTTCATTGCTGTATTAATTGATAGTACAGTTAGCTTTGTCCATAGTTGCACTAATAATGCTTGGCATTCGAGTTTTAAAAATGCTTCATGTACATTACCTTGTAATTCATATACGAACCATGTAAGGTAGGTCAATGTTATCTCAGTTTTGCAGATGGTAGGTTGAGGTATCATGAGATTGGCTTGCCAAAGACCACTTTGTCAGTTCATAGCAGAAGCAAGATTCAAACTGGGGACTTCCTGATCCAGAGCGAAGTCTCTTGGCTACTCTGCTGTGCCAGCTGTCTACACTAGTTATCACTTTTGTTTATATTCTAGTAAGCATCAACAAGTATTTTGGATACACACTGGAATAAATTATTTTGCCAGCTGCTGTAGATGATTTTTAAAAATCTGACTTACCCTATTTATTTCTATTCTTTAAAAATGTCTATTTTATGTGTATGAAAAGTGGTGATGGTGGGTTGCCTAGGAAGAAAGAGTTGTTTTCTGCGTCTTCACATTTCCAGAAATTCTATAATGCCGATGGCATTCAGGGTTAATATTATTTTCATTTATTTAGTATTTTTATATGCTACATAGTAGCATACCTCTGCTTTTATGTGCTCTGTGGCTGTTGGCCTGTAAAGTACTTCCAAGCTTTAACAATTGTTAGCTAAGATGTATAAAAACCCATAGGCCCAATAATTTATATCGGACAGTGACATCATTTCGGGACTGATGTCCCTTTGTCAATGCACCATTCTGGCGTTCACCGGAAACTCTCTGGTTCACTCTGGAAATGATGTCACACTGGCAACTAATGGCAATTATTGTCTTATTTTTTCTCCCATTGCCATACAGAGCAGAGTTGCAGTTGGGGGCAACCCCTGGGAGGTCTCTCATTACAGCCATTTGCACCGTTCATTAGACTGGAGTCTGGGGCAGTTATATATTTTGCATATCCATCTGGTTTGAAAATGCCGGTCAAAAACAAACAGCATTTTTATTCATACAGTAAGTTCTGGGACATGCGAGCCATATTTCTTGAACAGGAGTCTCCCCCCACCATTATACATGGCAAATTGTATTTGAAATTGAAGGCTGAATAGTATTTGAACTGCATTTTATGATATGGCATGGGTGTGCGCTACAGAAACAACAAAAAGTAAAATTTTTGTTTTGTGACCACAAGCCCCAGGGCTAGGCTAAAGTACCTCTTGGGATACTGGCCTTCACTTTTAAATTCCACTTCCAGAAAAACAGCAAGCTTACCTGTGAATATCTGCACGTGCCATCAAGGTCTCAGCACTACAGTCTTTATATCGATAATGAAGGAAGTCCTTCTCAATCTGTATCAGTTTATCATAGGGTTCCAGTAAATTCCTGCCAACTCAGGAGACTGACGACTGGTATTGATTAAACCCTGGACAAAATCTATCTGAATGTATGCTTCCCTGTACAGAAAAGTATGTTGATAGCACTGGTGGAAAACTCCGAAAAACGCTTTACACATTTGATCAACTGTGCAATATTTCTGTCATCTTTTCTCTGCACAGATTTCATTTTTTAAAAAGAAGAAAGCACAATGTGACAGAAAACAGTGAAGACATGAAATGACTATAATGAACATAAAAGCATGAAGTTCCAAAGCAAGATTATAGCTAAACATCAGGAAGACAAAAGTAATGACAACTGGGAAACTACACAACTTTAAGGCTGACAATGATGAAGACATGGAAATTGTTCAAGATTTTCTATTTCTTGGCTCCATCATCGCCCAAAAAGGAGACTGCACCCAAGAAATCAGAAGGGGATTGAGACTGGGAAGGACAGCCATGAAGATTCTTGAGGATTAGGGACGGGCACAAACTGGCTCATGAACTACAGTTTGTGACTAATTCTGCACAGTTCATGGTTCATGAAGTGAAGTTTGTGGCAGGTCAACAAGGATGAATATTCCACAAACTTACAAGTTGTTCATGGAGGTTTCTGCCAGACCCTGTAAATCCAATCCTCACCAAATCTGGAGGATAGGTACAGGAGTGTCAGTCAGAGATCCCCTGTGAGTTTGGTGTCTCTAGCTTTCACAGGCTCTGTTCTGTAGAGCCACACACCTCAGAAACTGAACTGGTTCCTTTAGCTGTTAAAAATTTATGACAGTTGGTGGTTCAAAAACTGAGCACACCATGAACCATGAACTGAACAGCATTTGCCCAGTTTGTGCTCATCACTTGTAAGGATGTGCTGCTGGTGACCAAGATCAAGAAAATTCATGCCATAGTATTCTCCATTACTATGTACGGGTGTGAAAGTTGGACAATGAAGAAAGCTGATAGAAAGAAAGTTGATTCCTTTGAACTGTGGTGCTGGAGGAGAGTTTTATGAATACTGTAGACCGCTAAGAAGACAAACAAATCAAGCCTGAATTATCCCTAGAAGCTAAAATGATTAAACTGAGGCTATCGTGCTTTGGCCACACTATGATAAGACAAGAGTCACTGGAAAAGACAATGCTAGGAAAAGTTGAAGGCAGAAGGAAAAGAGGAAGACCCAACATGAGAAAGACTGACTCAGTCAAGGAAACCATGGTCTTCAGTTTGCAAGATCTGAGCAAGGCTGTTAACGATAGGATGTTTTGGAGGTCATTAATTCATATGGTCACCACAAGGGAAGCGACTTGACAGCACTTAACACACACAATGTGACAATTCACAGAATTAGTTAATAGATGATATTATTCAGACACATTACAAATTGAAGTTTGCTCATGACAAGAAGAAGCCCATCAGGAGATTAAGTGGGTTAGAAATACTTTAAATAAACAAATGTGCCTCATTATTCTTGGGAGTAACTTTCACTTTACGCAGATAGACAGTGAGGAGTAATTTTATTACTTCTGTTGGCACATGGCGCAGGATTGAAGATTCCCTGTTTTATGAAGTCTTTGATCTAACAATAGTTTATTATAATGTCCAAATCTGAGTACTTGAATAAATTGGGGTTTAACCATAAACTGTGGTTTCAAATCCGGATTATACTGTGAGATAAAGAATAAATGAAGCAGGTTCTCACCATTAACATATGGATACAGACACAATAATTGTTTTAATACGTAATTGATTACCTGGCTTCTAGATGTGCAATTACTACACCTAGAACAGTTGCTCTGTTAGGTCTCTCCACCATTAATGGTCTCATGAAATTTACAGTTTTTTGCAAAAGTTGGCAAGATTGCATCTTTGGACAAATATAAAAGAAAACATTTTTTTAGTGCTTTAATGCCATTTCAGAACAAATATATATAATGAAAACATATGAGATTTTATTAAAGGTCTCAGTGTAGAAAAGGGTGAGCCTTAATTAAACATAGCTGTAAAAGAAGGATGCTGTGAACCTTAAAATGCATTTCAGAACAGTATCAAGAAACAAAATTGTAAGCATTGAATCTTTTTTCCTGATACAACAACAAACTGGAAAAACTGCACAAGTGTGATTGTTGAATGAATCTTATTTTCATAATCTTGTTGAATGGATCAATTTCCATAATCTAAGAACAGTGACACTACTGTTTTCACATGCCCAGCATTCTAAACAGTTTTAAACTGGACCTTATCTTGTGAAATTAGAACACTGGACACACCAGGTATAGTTTAGTAAATAATGTGTGTTGTAGGTGGGAAAAGTATACATAGCTAGCCTAGATGAAAAAGATGAATCCTATAGTGCTGCAGACTACACAATCTACATGTACTTCATCATCTCTGTATGTTTCAGTGAGGTAAATATAATGATTACTTCTTTACCATTTTCTCTTTTCTTTCCTTATCATCCCCTAAAATTGCATCCGTGAAACACAAGCTGCTATTGTACCAAAAATGCCCATTTCCTCCTATCATCTCTGCCTTCTCAAGCAAGGCTTTCGATTGCCCATGGTTCTTCTCCAAGTTAGCTAGTGTAGCTAGAAGATAAAGGCACCGTGATACAGCACATGGGTTATTCATTTCCTAGGTGGGGAAAAGGTAATTCAAAGTCAGAAGCCTTCATGCACTCACTTTTAAATTCAGTCTAGTATTATTGTATGGCTAGAGCCATCATAGTATTGCATAATGAGACAAATCAAGATGAATGCCATTAAGGATAAATATCAAGAATACAGTAATATACATACTCTGACCCGTACTAGCCGTCATCCTTGCAATTTACCAAATGAACATCTACAAAATATTTCCCAACCTGGGCAACCTGTGCAGCAAATTGCAAAATCTTAAAAGTAACTTATCTACTATTATCATTCAGTACAAAAATGAATGTTTTATGAGACGGCCATCCTAATATTCTCTCAAAGTAGAGAGCTGAATAGTTCTAGTTTTTATACATCAGACAATGCAGAACATGGTGTCGGTCTTCACCTCACATCTCATGAGCAAGTTCTTTCAGAGTACGAAGCATTATTAAAGCATCCCCAATTCACCACAAACACCATCATCTAGAAGCTGAGTGAAATAAACGCTTGCTTTAAGCCAAGTCAGTTTAGTGTCCAGACATAATCTGCTTGTCAGACACAGTGTTTAGAAGACATGTAGGAAAACAAGACTTCCAAGAACCTTGCTTTGGTGGATTCTCCTAAAGCTCAATAGCTAGAAGACTGGGTTTAAGCAGAGGTTTTTGCCCACCAATGGCAGAGATCCCAATAGAAGCACACTGAGACTCCTTATTTCCTGAATAGTTTACCAGAGGTTCCCAAACTTATTTGGCCTACCGCCCCATTTTCAGGGGAAAAAATTACTCAGCACCCCCCTGGAAATCTACCTTCAAGAAGTGGACAAAAAATGCAGTTTGTGGATCCGTACCTGGATCATTCCAGCCCACCTGGATCATTCCAGCGCCCCCGAGGGGGCAGTATTGCCCACTTTGGGAACCAGTGGTTTAACCCAATCAAGAATTATTAAAAAGAAATCATTAGATGTGAATTCCTTAGAACCTTGCTTGGGATGGGGTGGGGGCTCTAGAATTATTTAAATTCAAATATTGGATGAAAACATAAGCTGCTTAACACTTCTATGCTTCTGTAGCAGATTGGAAAATCAGGGAAATCTTTGAAGCCAATTAACTAATTTAAATTTGCAATCAAAATCCAAATGTGTAGTCTACTCCTGTGAATTATATTTCAAGATTTCTAATTATGGATACTATCAGATTTAGGGATTTTAGAGAAGTATTGGGTTGGATCAAAACTAAATCAAGAGCCAGTTTGGTGCAGTGCTTAAGAGCGGCAGACTGTATAATCTGGAGAACTAGGTTTGATTCCCCACTCCTCCACATGAAGCCAGCTGGGTGACTTTGAGTCACAATCCTTTCAGAGCTCTCTCACCTCACCTACCTCACAGGGTGTCTGTTGTGGGGAGAGGAAGGGAAGGTGATTGTAAACTGCTCTGAGACTCCTTTGGGTAGTGAAAAGTGGAGTACAAAAGCCAACTCCTCCCCCTCCATTGGCAATTTCAACCAATTCTGCCTTCCCACTGGAGTCAACCTATTATGTTTAGTATGTGTAGTTAATACAGGTTAATTAAGTAATCACTTAAGTATAGGCCTTAACATAACAGGCCTTTAGAACAGTTTTTTTTAAAGCATGCCTCAATGATGAATTTCAAAAATTAAATTAAATTAGAAAGCAAAAATTGAATGCTGAGAGAAGGCACTGAGGACTCTTCATTATTATAGTGTGTGATATATTGAGTACCTATATATACCTATATTATAGAAGACCAGGGCTTTTTCTTTTTTGAAAAAGAGGTGCCAGAACTCTCAAGAGAGAAATGAAGTTTTCAATCTGTATACTCACAAACTTTTAAACATTTTAAAAAGAATTTTGTCAACAAGGTTCTAGAACCCTGTTCCTGCGCATTCCCCCAGAAAAAAAGCCCTGGAAGAACCTATATCATAGAATGACATAGATTATACTCAGGTAGCACATCTGGCTTCCAAGGAATACAGAAGGGTAGGCATCTGAATAAATAAACCGAATATACACCATCACAAAGCTAGAGCAAACCCATTTGAGTTACCTGGATTGCTTGGTGTGCTTCTGAAAGCAGAAGTCTTGCTTGCTGATATAAGCACAGTTGGATTAGGACTTCAGCTTTGTCCATCCACAAGTATGGAAAAGAAAGGCCACTTATGCCTTTGCCAGTCAAACTATTTACTTCCAAGACCTGTAAAAGAATTCAACTCAAGAACTACTCTTAGTTTTTCTTTAAAAAGATCTGTAAATGTTGCACAGGACCTTAATTAGCACTTTGAGGCTATGATTAAATAGCAACTCTTTTAGGTCATCAGTTCAGCACCAAGAAGAACATGGGAGTCAAAGATAATTTGCCACATGTAATTCACATCATTAACCTTGCTCCTAAAAGATTTAGAGGCTGAAAATTGTTTAAAATGTTCACCACTGTGGATATGGCAGATAAAAGCAAATTACCTGCTCTTTTGATGTAACTAGTTTTTTACGTTGACCCATATCAACTGGCTGTGTGCAGACAAATAATTTATTTTCTGCCTGTTTAGTCTGCATTTCTTTCTCCTTTTTCAGTGCAATCTCTTGCCTGAACCTGATGTCAGGGGAAAAAGAGGGGAAAAATGGATTACCACACTTTATCGAAGCTATCATTAAAGGAATGAGTGAACATGCTAAACAGCTTTATGATTGCATTTTGGTAATGTGTATGAAACATCTCTTGGGCTCAGTTATGCTAGCAAGCAATATAAGATAATGGTCTTTGTAGAACAAACAGCAGCTATATGGAGAACTGGGCATGCAAATAGGTGCTGCATGTACAATTTCCCTTTCTGATCCAAAAGATAGGGCTGTTGCCATGGATTCCTGTAGAAAAAGGTTTATCCCACTTTGGTTCCGGTGATGCATGGAAATGTAATTAGTGTAGTTTCACTTGTGCAAACAGTAGTGCAATGGCTGCAGCAGCACACAGTGCTTTAATATAATTTCCCACAAAATAACAATGTGCATATGGAGCGATGGAATGTACAACAGATAGTTTGCATGATTTTATTTAATTAGTTTTTGAACCTGTGTTAGAAGGACTTGCAGAGGACATTTCATTTCCCCGCCCCATTATTTCTTTTCCCTTCCATAAAAGCCCCTATAGCCTCTCCCATTTCCCTGCTTCTTCTCTCCTTGCCATCCACCAATAAATTTATCTTTACCTGCTCCCTTGTCTTCAGGTTTCCCTCCTTCCTCCCAACTGGCAGAGTCTACCCAGGAAAGCAATGACCCAGTTGTGCAGTGGGGAACCTGCAAGGAATTGCAGATCATTTCCCCCTGTAGCTCCTCCCCCAACGATTGCCTCTTTCCAGCCTCTTGAAAACCACCATACCCTCACCTTTCCTTGCTTCCTTCTCTTCTTCCCACCCACCCATCAACCTGCCTTTCATCTGCCCTCATATTCAGCTATATTATTCATTTATTTAATTATACCCCACCTTTCTCCATAATGGGGACCCAAAGTGGCTTACATCATTCTCCTCTCCTCCATTTTATCCTCACAACAACCCTGTGAGGGTTGAGAATGTGTAACTAGCCCAGTGAACTTTCATAGCAGAGTGGGGATTTGAATATGGGTTTCTATTGGTTTTGCTGGCTTTCACGGAGCAGCTGCGGTTGAACAGTAGCAAGCAGGTTGGTCTGGCTAAATTATTCTGCTTCTATTAAGGGTTTTTTTTTGAACCCCCAATATATTTCCCCCCAGATTTAAGGTTTTTCAGCAAACCTCGGTCATTTCTCAAGTTTGTATAAAGATCTGTGTTGTCTCTTCATGGCTTTATTCTCTGGATTTAAGTATCCACAGATCTGGACATGTTGAGAGCAGTGCTCCCTCTAAGCTGTGTGCATGAGTGGCTGCTCATTAACACAGGAACAACAACAATCTGGAGCCGCACAGGGTCTTGTAAGGACCATTGCCCATTTTAAAATTACAGCAGTTATATTCTGCTCAGGATGTGAACTGCTCCGCTCAGTAGGGAAAAAGTTAGAGGGAACATTGGTTGAGAGTTACATATATTGATGACACCTTATGCTATGCCTTACAGACACACACGGAAAATGTAGTGGGGATACAATTGCTTTCACTTTACATAAGGAGACAGAGAGGAATAATTTTAGTATTTCTGCTTGTGCACGGACTGTTGCACATATGGAAATCTTACATGAGACCCGTCCTGTAGACTTTCCTTGCTTCACCCACCCAGCCAAAAAGCTAATTGGTAAAAGTTTAACCTTTTGGAAAGAGCCCTTGTGCATCCTGTTTTGGACACAAAATTATTACATAGGTATGCAAATAGTTTACAGAATATAAATAGTTTACAGAATATAAAATAGCATACCTTCCTTGTTCTACTTCATTAATGAATACTTCACCCACTGCCTTCTCATGATAACTTGATGCCTGATACAATTTTAAATCTAAGGATAAAACAGCGATTCTGTGGAAAGAAAAAATTCTTCACTATTGTAGGACAAGGGAAAAAGAATGTGATTTCTGACACTCTCTCTTGATATATATTACAGCTGTCAACGTGCCTTCAAAAGTTTAATCATAATAATTCAGATGCAATAGAATGGAATGCTATTTAGAAGTTGCAAGGACGCCAAGAGCAAAGTTTAACGTGAATCACAGTCCTTATCAGCTAGCTCTCCATAAGTGAGGCCAGAAAGGGTCCCAGTGTTCTTTAATGTTCCCATTGTTTTGAAGACCAGATTTTTTATAGTTTTTCAGATGTGTTTTTATTATGCATGTTTCTAATATATTAGTCACCTTGGTGGCCCTGAGGAGGGCAGAAAGGCAGGGCATATGTTTTTAAAAATAAACAAATAAGTAGATCTATTAATGACAAATGTATCAGTACACTTAGATCTGACATACACATATCCACACTACATGTATCCATACCTTGTATGTGAACATCTATTTATACAGTCTTCTAACATGTAATTTTTGGCATGGGAGAGACTATAAGTATACTCTGCTGATATAAAATCTATGGAAGTAGTATAAATACTATGTAAAGCATATAAGGGTACAAGTTCAAAGATAAGTTTATGGAAAGGAAATTGAAATGTCTCATAGTAACTCGTTTATGGAACATAAGAAAGGAAATTGAAATGTCTCATAGTAACTCCAAAGCAATGGATACAAACCGAAGATGGTAGAGATCTGAAACACTTTTGCTTTCTATGACATCATGAGCGATCACCTCAGCCAGATGGAGAACCGGAAGAGTTAAGTGAATACACAAAATTGTCTGCAGCTCCTTAACTAACAGGTCTAGGTAATATAAGGTACGTGCCTAAAATGTAAAAGAAGAATAGCAGTCAATTTTTCTATCTCAGTTTGTTAGTTTTCAACTCTCTGTTAAAAGGCATTTGAAAGTGACCTCAACAGTGATACAGTGCTGAACCAACAAACTTCTTGGATATTTAACTTAAGGGCCAAGCTACACATTCCATTCAAACATGCGTAACAAATTGTCGCTAGTTGCTTTGTGCAGGTAATTCAGGAGAGAGTAATTTAGCATGGAGAAGTGGTGGGGAGAGGATGCTACTTAACCAAATGTTATGCCTCTTACTTCTCTGCTCCAGTTTACCATCCACAGTGTTTTCTGTCCCATGGACAACCAAACATATTTTTGTGAAGCTAAATGTCCTTTGGGGGGAAAACCATCCAGGGTATGCATGATGTGGAAAAAAGAAGTGGCAGAAGTGACAAGGGTTAAGCAGTTATTTCCTTCCAACACTTCTAATTTACCCTCTCCTGAAGCTCCTTTAACTTATATCAAGTTCCCACTGGGATTTGCTATGTGTATAATATGTAGTTTGGCTGCAGTGTTCCATACTTTTTTTTGGGGGGGGGGTATTTTGTGTGTGTGTGTGCTTGTGAGCCTGGAAGTCATGGTGACTTCTGGCAGCTCCTAGTGGGGCTAGGACGTTTCAGAGAGGTGACTTGATATTACCTGCTTCGTCACCCTGGCCCTGTTATTCATTGGAGGTTGCCCTTCCAAGTACTTTGCCAGGGTCAGCCCTGCTTAGCTTCTGAGATCTGACGAGATCGGGCTTGCCTGGGCTATCCAGGTCAGGGCGCAGTGCTCCATATTTTGAGCACCTTTGTTGCAACCCAGATACTGGATAAAAAGAGAATTAAACAGAATGCTCAATGATGGCCTAAAAATCAATAAGACAAGACATTTTCAGCATGTACATTGGGGGGGGGAGGCCACTCCTCCGGTGCAGTTTTTCATCTTAAAAAAAAGTGATAGTGTTATTTTAAATATGCCAATGCACACACATTAATTGAATGAACGTATTTGCTGCACTTTAAGAAAAAGATGAATAGTCCTCACACAAATTAGATGGAAGGACATGATAGATACATTTGCCAGCATATGAATAACTGATTAAAGTTGTTTATATTATGAAGACAGGAAGAAGCTGGGTTCAATCCAGAATGGAAAACAGTGGTATAAGCCTGTGATTCCTGTTTTCAGTTATGTCTGTACTCAGTTGTAGTGTCACTCCCACAAAGAACAAGGAGGTGACTGATAAGTGAGGGCAAGTCTATATAAACCAATGTAATAGTGATCATCCTGTGACAAGCTTATCAACAGACACTGTGGATCATGACTTTCTGCTTCCTCCCACCAGAAATCCCTTGAACTTATATAAATCTGATATTGAAACTGCGCTTTACAACGTATAGCTGCCATGACGACTCACAGCCATATTGCACAGTGAGTTCCCAGTAGGAACTGTACTTAAGACCACCGTGTGGGCCTGGTTCAGATGGGGACTGTGGCTCAGGGAGAGGAGGGGCTCCTGCTCTCCCCCATGTGCCATTTTCCTGAGCTGAAACAGAAGCATTTCAGTTTGGGAAAACAGTGCAGGGGGCAAGACGGGGGCAACTGCTCGCTCTGAGCTGCAGTCCTAATCCAAATCAGCAGCTCCCTGTCTTTTTAAATAGAGCTCCCACTGTGTACTCGCAGATGCAGTATGGCTGAGAATCTCTGTAACATGTAGTTTAGCCCTGAGAAGGCTTGATGAGAATGCTAGTTTTAATCTTTAACAGTATTGTTTTGAAAATGTTACCTACAGGAACTAAGATGTTGCAGCTGCTCAGAGCAAAGCTACTTGAGTCCTGTTTGAAAGCATCCCTAATTTCATCTGGGCAGTCATAGCTAGCCCATTCCTCCACACTTGCTGGTAAAGCTTCTATTGGTCCTTTCCGTTTAGGCTTCTCTTTTGTGAGTGACTGCACCTGCAAATAAAACAATTTGTAAGGAACATAAGAACATAAGAAGAGCCCAACTGGATCAGACCATGTAGTCCAGCATCTTGTTTCACACAGCAGTCAGAATAGCTGCTTCGAGGGGTCAACACACAGGACAGAGAAGCTAAGGCCTCTGATGATGCCGCCTAGCATTATTTTTCAGAATGTTGCTGTCTCCATTTATGGAGACTCCCTTTATCCACCATAGCTATTGATGGGCCTATGATCTGTCTAACCCCCTTTTAAAGCCTTCAGCGCTCAAAGCCATCACTTTGTCCACCAGTAGCGAATTTCACAATTAATTACTCATTGAGTAAAGATGTCCTTTTGTCTATCCTGAACACATTGCCTATAAACGTTTCATTGACCTTTCCACTACAACCCTAAGATCTCTTTCAGTCTCAACCAGTTCAGACCTTGTCAGCGTATATTTAAAGTTATGATTTTTTGTTCCAGTGTGCATCGCCTTCCACATACCTGTAATAAACTTCACTTTGCCATGTTGTTGCCCATTCACCCAGTTTAGAGAGAGCCTCTTGTAGATCTTCACAATCAGCCTGGTATAATGTGCAAACTAGGCTACTGTACTGCTTACCCCCAAATCTAAATCATTTATGAACAAATAAAATAGCAGTGGTCTCAACACCAATCCATCTTGGCAAGTGCCACCTTGGCATAGCAATGTTTTAAATAAATTAATTCATAAAATGATCCTGAGACTCCCCTTCCTTCCAAGGCAAGAAATGTCCATTTATTCCTACTTTCCATTTCCAGTTCTTCAATCAATTTTTGATCCACAAAAGGACCCATCCTCTTATCCTGTGACTGCTAAGCTTAAGCACGAGTCTTTGTTGAAGCGCCTTGTCAAAAGGCCTTTTGGAAGTTCAAGTATATAATGTCTACTGTTGAATTTTTATGAAAAATATTATATTGCAAAAACCCACAAATGTACCTGTTTGACATCTTTAGAGAGTTTGTCTTTTCTAGGAGGACTTGTTGATGAAGTCTGTTAGAAAAAATGAAAAGATTTGTAAAGAAAGAAAAATATTGGTATATTTTTGTCCATTAAAATGTTGCTATTAATACAGTATTTTAACACACACATGCCTCTACATTTGCCCAATGTTTTAATTAAGTCTTTCATAACATCTACTATGAGATTTAACAAAACCCCCAGAGACATATGCTGTGCTCACTTTGGCCATTTAAAATCTCTCATCCACTTCTAGGCCATCAGCTGGTCAATTGCCAATGAGGTGTATGGCACAGGGGTGGGACTCACATGATGCAGCAAATACTGACTGCACTTTTCACAAGTTTGAAAATCTCAAAGCCCACTCCCACCCAGATTTACTTGAATGACATTCCACAGTTTCTAGTAGGGCTTTTTCCCAAGTAACCAGGGCTATTTTGGGGCAGGAACGCACAGGAACGGAGTTCCGGCTGGCTTCCGAGTTGGCCACACCCAGCAGGAACTCATTAGCATAATAGGCCACACCAAACAGCAGAAACTCATTAGGATTGGCTACATTAGGGGTGTGTGGCCTAACATGCAAAGGAGTTCCTGCTACAAAAAAGGCCCTGGGTTTTGACAACAAACAAGGTAAACAGAATAAGAAGCAAAAGGTGGGTGTGGCTGGATAACCACACTTCTGGTAACATGTGGGTGCGGCCTAATGTGCTAATGAGGTGTGCTGTCAGGGATGTAGCCTAATATGCTAATGAGTTTATGCTGTTGGGTGTGGCCTATTATGCTAATGAGTTCCTGCTGGGTTTTTTCTACAAAAAGAGCCCTGCAAGTAACTATGCACAGGATGGTTGCCTTAGGCTGCTGGAACTTGCCATCACTTCCGAAAATACTTTTACTTCCTCCTTCTCTTGCTACAAATTCCATTCAGTGGGCAAAGAAGACAGGTGTACATAACACTGTAGAGGCCAAGCTGAAAGACTGAGTTGTATTCCTCAACCCCAGCTATCCATGATTATTACACAAATGTTATCAATGAAATGACTTTCAGGACAGCAGGGGGCTGACAGCAGTGATGGGAATGGGGACACAAGTAGGTACTTTCGAAACTCAGACTGACAGTGCAATCCAAAAGAGAGTTACTGAGAGTCTGGGGCCTACTCTCCCCACATAAGCTTCTTGTGCTGCTGATCATCTGTTTCTACAATACAGAAATCTTCCACAGCACTGGGATAAATAATTGTAATATGGACTAAAAGAAAAACATTACAGAGACTGAGTTCAGACTGGCAGTTTACACCGAGACAGGCACATGCCAGAAACGTTCCACAACCGGATTAAAGGGGCCGTTCACACAGGCACATCTGTCAGGTGTTCCCCAGCTGTACTCAGCCCATCTTGTAGCGTTTGCCTCCCGAGTTTCAAAAGTACCTGGTGAAAGTGGTAGCAAACCATGGAGAGTGCATTCATCCCACACCAACAAAGTGTGAACGCCGAAACCTGCAATTGCTTGTGCGCTTATGTGCATATGTGCATATCTCCGGATTACCAAAAAGAAAGCCACGCCTTACAGCCGCACCTCCACCAGGGGCGGGCCAACAGTGCAAACGCTTCCTTGCGCCTCCTCCCCGGTATGCTCCTGCATCAGTCGGTGCAGTGTGACCGGGAAACCACGAAACAGTTTGTGCCGGATCTTTTTGCCAAGACTCCCTTGCGCTTCAAACTGCCAGTCTGACCTCAGCCAGAGATTCATATCTCCTTACCAGAGTAACTGAACATATGAAATTCAGAATTAAAAGACCTTTACAGGTTCTTAATATTTTTCTGTGCACAATTAAAAGTCATAGTTTTGGCCTATAAAAGCCTATGTGGCTTGCTACTCTGGGTGATCTGAAGGATCATCTGCCCCTGTATCTATTTATCTAAATCTCACCTCTAAAAAGCTCAACAGCACATGTTTCTCCCCCTGGCCCTTTATTTCCACAACACAGTGAGTTAGGTTATGCTGAGCTGCCTGTAATGACCCCAAGGTAATTTAGTGAGCTTCATGATGATTAGAGGTTTTAATTTGTATCTCCCCAACCTTAGTCTGACATTTCACAAAACTACTTCTCATGGCTTTCATTTATGCCCAAAGAGCTAGCTACTTAAATCATTGTCTGCTCCCATGTAAAACAGCCCAATGTTTAAGATAGTCTTCAGATGCCCTTTTCTATGTACCCCCTGTCTTCCTAAGTAGAAATCAAGTGGACAGGCACCAAAGAAAGGGCCTTTCTGTGGTGGCACACCAGCTATGGAACACTTCTCCTGAGAGAGATTCAGCTGGGGTTTCTCTATTGTGTTTTATTTGCCCAAAGTTTTAATGAAGTATGTTGTCAAAGGCTTTCACGGCCGGAGTTCATTAGCTGTTGTAGATTTTCCAGGTTGTATGGCCATGGTTTGGCATTGTAGGACCTGACGTTTCACCAGTAGCTGTGACTGGCATCCTCAGAGGTATAACACAGAAAGATGGAGTACTCTCTGTGTCAAATTAAGTCTTCCATAATATATATCCATGGGTTTTCAATCTCCTCCTTAATTTTGTCATCTGTTTCATTTGTTTGGTACTGGGTTTTGTGATATCAATTTTGAAAGGCATCTTGAGGAAAAATTTAAAGGTGGTATAGAAATGACTTAACTGACTACTAAAACCATTCTGAGGCACTTCTCTGGGGCCTGAGTGGGGACCAGAGACATGGTCTTTTCTGTGGTGGTTGTGTTGATTTTATTACTAGGCACTGTTGCTTACATTATTCATTAGCTGCCAAAAAGTAACATAGAGCAGGTTTCTGAAGATGCGTGTGTGCACATGAAAGCTTATACCCAGAATCAAACTTTCTTGATCTTAAAGGTGCTTCTGGGCTCAAACTCTGTTCTGCTGCTTCAGACCAACATGGCTGCCCCACCTGAGTTTATAAAGCATACAAGTTTACCAAAAAAAGTGAAACATGAATGGCTTCAATAAACAAAAAAAGTAAGCTTTGGATATAGAAGGACATCTTACTCGTTTTGTATCCTTTTTTCCTTGTTTTTTGGGAGTGGCGACCTGTGGTGGGGAGGCTTTGGCCGATGCCTTCAAAAAGGATCCTGCTG